GTCCCTGGACTGAAGTTACAGATGATTTTGAGTTAACATATGGGTGCTGGAAGCCAAACTTGCAAGAGCATCAAGTTGTCTTAATTTACTAGCCATCTCTCAAGCCCTAGTTTAAAAAACAAAAAACAAAACATTTATTGTGCATTTGGGAATTGTTTTCCTTCCACCATGAGTTCTGGGAATTGAACTCAGGTCATCAGTGTTGGTAGCAAATACTCTTACTCACTAAGCCACCTTGTTGGCCTCTGGATAATTTTTTCTAGTTGTAAATCATGTATTGTGATTTGCAATTAAGGTTTCATATTTTTAAACAGTTCTTTTTATTTTTAACATTAAAAAAAAGATTATTTATTATGCATACATGTTCTGCCTCCATGCCAGAAGAGGCACCAGAACTCATTACAGAGTGATTGCTGGGAATTGAGCTCAGGACCTTTGGAAGAGCAGCCAGTGCTCTTAACTCCTGAGCCATGTCTCCAGCCCCCATAACTGGTTTTAGTTTTTTCATTTAATTTATTTATTTGAGTTAATTAATTAATTAATTAATTTGAGATAGGGTCTGGCATTTTATAATTGGCTTGATAATTAAAAGAAATGCAACCTATTTTCTAAACTCTTCCTAAGATGGGAAGCCTTGGTTTGGTGCTCTTCCATTGATACTTGATGATATCTCATTATAGTTATTTTTTATATTGTAATATGTAGCCAATGCTTAAACCAAGATTAAGCTTTTCTTTTTTTGTTTTTTCTTTTGATTGAAAGTAGTTTTGTTTTTTTCCCCCCTCTCACATAATATATTCTGGTTATGGTTTCCCCTCCCTCTACTCTTCCTGGCTTTGCCCAACCTGCCCTCACATCTAGATCCACCCCCTTTCTCTCTCTCATTAGAAAACAGACTTCTATGAGATAATAATATAATATAACACAATAAGATAAAACAAAAACTAACACTTCAGAATTGGACAGAACAAACAAATAGGAAAAGAACTCAAGAGAAGGCACAGAATCAGAGACCCACTCGTTTGCACACTCAGGAACCCCATAAAAATACCAACCTGGAAGCCATAATATGTACGAAAAGGACCCTATAGGCATAAAAGAGAAGAAAAATTTTATACATACATACATACATACTTACACACACACACACACACACACACACATTAAAAAACCCAACCAAAACTCCAAGCTGGCAAATATTTGGGTATACTTGAGTTATTTGTAGTCAGATAGTCATTGAAATGGCATTAGTAATCTTAGTAATACTGTAACGAATATTTAAATGCACATTTCTCACTTTAAAAACACTAGAACCGTGTTAGACAAGAAGCTAAGCACAAACTAACATGCTTGCCAAAAATCACACTTAAATAGGCTATGCAAAGGGCCTACAAAATCTTAGAAAAAGATCCTTTTTTACATTCTTTAAAAGATTTAGATAGTTTAGTGGTAATAACTACAATTTTTTTATCTTTGAATTGTATGCTCATAATACTCAACTTGAGCCATTAGTAAAGGGCTTCAAGTAAACTGAAAATCTTTCCCTATACATGCTTTTAAATTTAGGTTTTTCAGCCCATGTTAATGGAATATTTTACCTATGAAGAGCTTAAAGATATCAAAAAGAAAGTGATTGCACAGCACTGCTCACAGAAGGACACAGCAGAACTCCTTAGAGGTCTCAGCCTGTGGAATCAAGCTGAAGAGCGACAGAAATTTTTCAAATATTCTGTGGATGAAAAGTCAGATACTGGTAAGATTCACCTGTTTTGACTGAACAATGTTATTAATGCAGTGCTCTTGACATTTTGTTATAAATTATAGATTTTGTTTAAGGACTAATTAAGTCAGTTTTACTCTATGATCAGTTTATGTCATTTAGTTTTTCTTAAAAGTACAATTGAGGACAGTAGTTTATATTGTAGAATTTAGTGTTAATCTTCCATCTTATAGGCTTGGCTTCCATGTAGTGTAGTGTTTCTTGAGTGAATTTGTAGGTATAAAATAAGTTCTGTTTTTGACCAATGAAAATTCAGGACTGCTATGTTACAGAATCAGACAGCTTTCTGAGCTCCCTTATAGTGACAGGTTTAAATTTTTTTCCCTTTATTTTAATGTATGTATATGGATGTTTTGCCTGCTGTATGTCTATGTACCATGTGTTTTCATTGCTTGCATTGGTTAGAAGTTTCTCTGGGACTGGAGTTACAGTTGGTTGTTTACTACCGTCTGGGTCTTGTGACTGGAATCTGGGTCCTCTGGGAGAACAGCCAGTGAGTGAATGATCTTAAACCTCTGGTCCATTTCTCCAGTCTTACAGTGCCATCTTTTATTTTTGTGTGTTTCAAAGTCAGTTAATTTATAAGCATTGTCCTTGACTTATGGTTCAGTGTAGACTTTTTGGACTTTATAATGGCATGAAAGTAAGTAATTTGTATACTTCAGTTTTGCATTTTGATCCTTTTTTGGCCTAGTTTATGTACAATATAAAATTTTCTAAATATCTAAATGCTAGGCAGCAGTGAGCCATGGTTCCAAGTCAACCATATCCATTCCAGGAATGAACCATGTTATTCATGTTGTTCATAGAGAACAATTGATGCTCTACAGTTTAACAGCTGTGGTGGTTGTTATGTTATGTGCATTTTTGTTCCTGAACTTATTTAACTTAATGGGTTTATTGGGATATAACTCTCATTTTGAGTTAAGGAAAGGAACATTTATAATTTTATTTTCATCCTCTGATGTTTATTATTCTCTCAGTATATCTCTAGTAACGTTCAGGGTAGTGAGTATGAGAGAGAAACAATCCAAAGCTTTTCCGTATAGTTACATTAAGAATTCACATCAGAAATGCAAATAAAATAGATGCTTACCTTTTCTAACTCACTCTGTACTTATTTTTATTCTTATTTACACCCTAGTGCTGGGCGTGCACCACCAACACCCGGCTTTATCTTAATAGCTTTGTTTTTTAAAACTAAAGATACAGTTGGTTCCAGGAATAGTAGTGCACACTCTTAATCCCAGCACTCTGGTGGCACAGAAACTGAGTTTGAGGCCAGCCAAGGTTACATAGGCAAAAGATAAAAAAGCCCAAACAGTTGGCATCCTTAGTCTTAGCAGAAATTCTTCTGCCTCTAGATTGGTAATGACAATGTAAGTCCTGTAAAATTTTTTGAAATTGGTATTTTTCAAATATTAAAGTAGTCAGATTCATGTTTAAAGAAAAATAATTTTATAAGTTGAAGCTATGATTAAACCCATAAAGCTTATGAGCATTACTCTTGTAGTTCAGCTTGTGCCCTGGATACCACACCAAAACCTGTTGTGTCTTGTTTAATTGTAACTATAAGACAGCTTTTAAAAGCATCACACACATTTAATTTTCCCTTCTTCAAAGCAAATTATATAGCAGCATTATATTTAAAATATTTGGCATTTTAAGTGGCAGTTTAAAGTGTTTGATCATAGCATTTCATATTTAAGATTCTTTGTGAAGAACCAGATATACAAGAATCTCATGTAGTACTTCGGAGACAATTCATTCTTTATCTTAACACTCCATTTTCATTCTTTCAGAAAAATGCTACCAATTATGAGATCATAGGAAGTTGTTTAGTGACTTTCTATAATACTTAATAACAAAAGATTTCTTACCTGTGCACTAGGGGCATTTATGTTTACTGAGTTGGCACATAGTTCAAATAGGGTAAGGCATTTGTACATTAAAGAAATCATATTTCATAGACCTTTTACATGAATTGTCAGAATCAAAGAGGGAACACAAGGAACTAACAGGAGTCTTGATTCATGAACAGAAAATGTGAGCATGTATGTCATTAACAATGCCTTGTAGATCTCACAATCTGGCTGAGTATACACTTGCTGATTTAAAGCGGTGTAACCTGTTTGGTTCCTTTTTCAAATGATGTTACTTATGCTACAAAGTGAGTATTGTTTTGTCTATGACGCCCTTGTAAGAGGAAGTCAATTCTATGTTCATTATTGTAGTTCCCACTGATGAAGTATGATCAGGGCCATGATAGTTTTAACCCTCCAGGTTCTTAACAAGTTCAACATCTCCATGTTACCTCTAATACGTGTTATTTCCTTTTCACGTGTTGCAAGCAGGAAGGAATTAACTTCAGGCACTGGCTTTTACTTGTGTGATTGTAATTTCTTACTGCATTGCTTGTGTAGCCTTACTCTTAAAGGTTTTCTTTTTTATTTCAGAAGCGGAAGTGTCAGAACACTCCACAGGTATAACCCATCTTCCTCCTGAGGTAATGCTGTCCATTTTCAGTTATCTTAATCCTCAAGAATTGTGTCGATGCAGTCAAGTCAGTACTAAGTGGTCTCAGCTGGCAAAAACAGGATCTTTGTGGAAACATCTTTACCCTGTTCATTGGGCCAGAGGTAAGTAAATGGGACTTCTGATTTATTTACAAAATATTTCATTTTGCATTTTTAGGCCATTCATCTATAATTCCAGGGAAGAGAACCTTTGAGGGTTTGACCTAAATAAATAAAATAGATTTTATAGTTGATGTGGTTTTAGTATTAGTATATGTTTTTGAAGGTCTAGCAATGGTGAAGTATATATGAGTAAACTATGTAAGTAATACTATTTCCTTTAGGATAATTAGGAAAAATATGTCAGGGATTGTAAAAAACACTGGTAAAATGTTGATAATTGTTGAAGATAAAAAATGGGTATACAGAGATTCATTGTACTGTGTCTTTGTACATATGACCATGGTTAGAATTTTTCATAGTAAAAGTTTAAAATTGATTTTTAGAACTGTTAAATAATTGGATTATTTGAGTATTTTAAACATAGAATCAGTTCTATAAAATGTGAAGGTGAGAGATACATACAGTTTTCATTTGGTCATGGTTTAAAGTAACCAACTCTGGTTTTAGTTTTAACATAGCTTTTTACAATGATGGCTAATGTATTGTTCTTTAAATTACATTAATTTCATTGTGCTGTTACTTTCACATATGAAGGGTTAGAGAACTTTTCTTCTCATGAACATGTAAAATATTCATGGAATATTTACAGTTATTGTGCACTACATTGTTTTGTTGCTGAATTAAAACAGTGCCTTCAAAATTCATAGAAGTTAATATACTTTCCCCTTATATAGGACAGTTTGCAATGGTAATACGTATTTCTTAACAAAATTTTGACTTTTAAATTATGAGTCTTATTTTAAAAGTTTATTTTGTAGAATGTATAAGTTAAAAAAATAAAAAAAAGACAGGTTCTTACTATGTAGAACTCAAAGAGATCCACCTGTCTCTTCTTTGCCAGTGCTGTTTTAAAAAGTGTTCTTAATCTAGTGTCTAAACTGACCTCTTAATCTCTGTTCTCCTGGATCATATTCCTTAGTGCTGGAATCAGAGGCACCTTCTGAGACAGTTTTAAAATAAGATTTTCTTAGATATTTAGTGTTTTGGGGATGATCAGAATTATTATTTTTGTATGGATTAATTTTTTTTGATACTTGTAGGATGGTAAAATTTGAGTAAAAAATCAAATAAAGCACATGAATGAGTCAGCTTTTTCTTTTCAGCTGTTTTTAATTAAGAATTAAGACAAATTCAAATGATGGTGTAAATACCATCAAAAGTGATAATGCTGTATTCATTTCATGAAACCACTGCATCTTAAATATGCTACTTTTTTTCTGTTTTTAACATATTTAGACCAAACAAAATTATTTTTGTTAATGATATTTATTTTTGTCCCTGTCCGGGATATTTATAATGTTTGGAGACATCTTCGCTTGTCCTGGTTCTGGTTATTATACCATCTAATGCAGTGAATCTCAACCTGTAGGTTGATACGAGACCCCTTCATGGGTCTCATATCAGATATTTACATTATAATTCATAACAGTAGCAAAATTACAGTTATGAAGTAGCAATGAAAATAATTTTATTGTTGGGGGTCACCACAACATCATGAGGAACTGTATTAAAGGGTCAAAGCATTAGGAAGGTTGAGAACTACTAGTGTAGTAGGTAGAGGCCTAGATTGCTCCTAAGCAACTTATAATCCATAGGTTAGTAGTAGCCTTCGATGTCAGTGGTGTCTAGGTTGACAAACCCTAAGGTAGATACACTCTTAAGAATTTAATAAATTGTGTGTTATTGTCTCTATCTTCATGAACATGTAATACATGTACTGTAATTGTAGTATCTATACATTTTTGGTTTCACTTTACCTCAGTGTGTCACTTGACTTCTGTTCCTACCTACTTGTGCAGTCTGAAAATGAGGTTATTACTGTATCCAAAGTGAAGTTACTGTAGGGAAGAAAAGATTAGGTCATTTCCAGCAATTCTTTTTTCTTTAATTGCACCTATAGATACCTAGTTTCTTAGAAACTAGATTATGATCATTAAACTTACCTTTTTTTTATGAAGGGAATCATTGAAAACCTTTCCAAGAGAACAGATACATGACAGGTATACAGCAAACTATGTAGCTTTTGAAGTTCTTTTTCTTTAGTTTTAGAGAAAGGTTACTACTCTGGGAAATACTGTTGATTAGTAATTGCTACTATTACTTGAAGTCACATAGTCATAGTTCTTTTTGTGTTTTAAATTGAATCATTTGCTTATATGTGTGCAGTTTTTAAAAATATTTCTAAAAATAGCCATTGCCTGAAGTTCAGATGTGAATAGCAGATTCTTTTCTGTACTGACCTTATAATCTAATTTGACTTTGTTGCTCTTGTTTATTCATTGTCTAGGTGACTGGTATAGTGGTCCCGCCACTGAACTTGATACTGAGCCTGATGAGGAGTGGGTGAGAAGTAGGAAAGATGAAAGTCGTGCTTTTCAGGAATGGGATGAAGATGCTGATATAGATGAATCTGGTATTTCATGCTTGGAATAAAAATTATTACATGGTGTTTAAATAATTGACATTCTAGTTAATATTGTTAGGTCTTAAAATCCTTGTATTTCATGCTTTCTAAAGACTTAAAAGCCTACTTCTGAAGAATTTGAAGGAACAATAAGTAAATTTAGAATTTCTTGTTAGAAGTATTTTTAAAAATAGAGTGGTTTCTCTTGTGTTTTTATATTAAAATAACAAAATCAGGAAAATGATGGTCTTTTTGTGTAGAAATAAACTATCTCCATTATAGTGCTTTATAGCTTACAATATGTGATTGAGGATTTCAGTTAATCTAATTCATCAGCTTTTATTGAATCATCTGTGGTTGAGAGATGGGAAATAGGATGATGTTTTGTCTATAAAGTCATATTACTTGTAGAGTTAAGAAGTAATGTGTATGAGAGACTGGGTAGGTGTAGCTTAGGGTAGAACACTTATATAACACCGTAAAGCCCTGGCTTTAGTCTCTACCACCGCAGAAAAAAAATCATGCATGAAGATTAATTGTGTTGCCCAGTTTTGGCAAAAATTAAGTACTGTATGAGGGAGAGTTTGAGAGTGGATAAAAAGTTATTTATTTCTACTGTTAAATAAATAGTAAGGGAGAATTTAGAATACACAATTCTTCCTTTAAGGTACATAATGAGAATTGCTGTAATAGATAAAGATGAGCAGGTGATGCTTGGGAGTAGAGAGGAGGAAGGCAGATCCTGTCTTATATACTACTTTATATTTATAGTAATTTCTAAAAGATCATAAACTAGTGAAAATCTATAGATGAGAAATTTTAAGAAGTTTCTGTTTATAAAGCTAAAAGAAGTAAGCTAAGGTTTGGTGGAAGATCCTTGTAGAAAATAAGAACTACAACGGTTGTACTTTGGTAGCTAATGTGTTTCTGATTTTCATGAGTTGAAGAGGGCACATTTTGAAAATTTGTCTAATAGTGAAGAGATCTATTTTCATTAGCTTCAATCATATGCATACCTGTGGCAGGCAATAGGATGTGTAACTTTAGATTTTATAGTAAATAAAGCACATCCAGGTAGGGATGGAGGGGAAAGAATGACTTAGGAATAAAAGTGTGGAATAAATAAGGTTTGCTAAAGTGATTTTTAGTGATAATATCCAAGTAAAGGAGGAATTTAAGGCATTTATAAAATACTTGAAATCAGCAAACTATTCAGCAATTACTCTCTGAACTCTTTTAGCTACTCTATTCTATTTTATTTTAAGTAAATCTTTAATGTATTAAGCTGTTTTATGTTTAGATACATAAGTATAGTATAGATAGAATAGTATAGTAAAGATAGAATCCTGAAAAGTGATACAAATTTTAGGTCTATTTACAGTAGGTTTTTCTTTTCATAAAATTGGAGTTGTAGTAATTTTGTTTTCCTTAATATTGGGGCTTAAACTCAGGCCTTTACCCATTCTCTGAAAACAGTTTTGCCAAGCTAAAGCTGTAGTTTTTTTGTTTGTTGTTCTATAGAAAGTACTCTAAAGAAAATACTAAGTGCAAAAGGCCATGTTCATGTTTAACTTCTTATGAGCAAAAGTGTCTCTTTTGCTTGAAGATTCATAATAATAAGGTTAATAGAGTTGTTTCACATCTCTTCTGGCTTAGTGTCATTTTTAATGAGGTAGAATAGCTTAAAACTGTAGATAATTTATTCCTTTGTATCATTCTGTTCTCTTGAAGAATTTTTACAGTTTTTCACCATTCAGAATTCTCTTCAGAACTTTTTCTTGTTGCCTGAAAATGAAATTGCTTGCAAAAGGGAGTTTGAGGGCAGTATAGAGTATTTCCTATTTAGTATTTGATGCATCCTTTGAGTGGCCTACTTATAATTGGTGTATCTAGTTCTTAGATGTTTGAATTCATTTTACAGAAGAGTCTGCAGAGGAATCGATTGCTATCAGCATTGCACAAATGGAAAAACGTTTACTCCATGGCTTAATTCATAATGTTCTGCCATATGTTGGTACCTCTGTAAAAACTTTAGTGTTAGCATACAGCTCTGCAGTCTCCAGCAAAATGGTATGTACAAATGAATACTAGCTTGAGTATTAAGAAAAATAGCAGTGAGACAACTTTGGTTTGCTTATTAATGTTTATTTAAGAGGGAAACAATAGAGTGTCTTCCTATGGGTAGGTTGTACACTGCTTGTTTTCATATAATTTCATTTTTTATAGTATTCTCTGTAGCTTAGGAATTATTGCCTGTGCTATAGATAATGGAACTGAAACTAGGCAGGTAATCATTTATTTGGATTTATAGATGTAAAATGATGAGTCTTAGTTCTCTCTGATTGATTATAACGTGTAAGGCATGACAAGATGAACAAATGAGATGAAACCAGTTTTATAAAAATTATGACTTCTTACTCTTTAGGTAGTCCTTAAAAATGTAGACTTTTTTTCAGGGTCTAATTTCTAAGAATCTTTAAGAAGATTGCTAGAAATTTGAATTCAGGGACTGGGCTCTGATTGATTATAACGTGTAAGGAATGACAAGATGGACAAATGAGATGAAACCAGTTTTATAAAAATTATGACTTCTTACTCCTTAGGTAGTCCTTAAAAATGTAGACTTTTTTTCAGGGTCTAATTTTCTAAGAATCTTTAAGAAGATTGCTAGAAATTTGAATTCAGGGACTGGGGAAGTAAATGGTTCATCTAGTAAAGTGCCTTTTGTGCAAGCACAAGGACCAGAGTTTGGATCCCCAGCATATACAGATAAGTGTATAATAGAATGTAACTAACCACAGTGCTGGGGGTCAGGAGAACTGTGTGCAGAGACAGCAGATTCCTGGTATTCATTGGCAGCTACACTAGCAGAACCTGTGGCTTTAGAGTTCAGGGAAAACAGTTATCAGAAAATTAAATGGAGGAAGATATAGGAATTAACTTCTGGGCTCCACATATACCACACAAACCAAAAGAATTTGAGCACAGAGTATATCTATTTTAATGTGTTCTTTAAGTTTTTTCTTTCAGTATGAGTATAGACTTAGGAAAAGCCAGTGGGTTATATTTAGTATTGTCTGTTGCTTATCTAACTAAAGCTCCATGTGTCCTCATGGCGACTTTCTTTTCTTTCTTAGGTTAGGCAGATTTTAGAGCTTTGTCCTAACCTGGAACATCTGGATCTTACCCAGACTGATATTTCTGATTCTGCATTTGACAGGTTATTTATTTTCAAATATAATAAATTCTGACTGAAATCAGTAAAAAATTCTCTATTTTCTTGCTTACATAATCGCTGTTTACTCATTCTATATTCCTGCTAAATTCCTGCCATGTGTAGCTGTAACTTGCCTTTTGTTTATATATGGCAGCTGATCCAGAACATTTTTACAGCCATCTGTACGTAGTGTCTAAGCTTATGAATCTTGCTTTGTAACTTTCTAGATCAACATTACCCATTTTCAAGGTTTTATTCCAGTTTTTAAGTGCTATTTTTCAAAGCTCCCTTTTAATTCATTGTTTTTCTGGTTCAGTACCAGTTTGTTCAAGCCACACTCTTTGCAAATGCTTCTTCCTTAGAGGCTACTAGTTTTCTTCTTATTTTAGCTTCCCCTTTCTTCCAAGTTCTGATATATCCTGTTTCAGAGGGAGAGAGAGATTCTTCTACCCATTTCTAGAGTTTGCTTCTTCTGAATCTTCATTATGCAGTATTGAGTCCTCCATGTGTACACTGCTTTTCCTCTACTGTTTACTTGTAGAATAGGACACTTACATTTCTCCCATCCTTGTCTTTCTCCCATCTTACTAGGTTAGAAATAATACTTGTTTTTTTAATTACTTGTCTTAGTATCTTTTTGTATTCCTAGCACTAAAAATATCCCCTAATGATATACATTCCAGAAACGTTTAAGTGATGATTTTGTATTTAAAGTAATTCTAATGCTCATCTGTATGTATGTAGTTTAATGCTTTTGAGAATTTAATAGTCTTCTTTCCTCTTGTAGTTGGTCTTGGCTTGGTTGCTGCCAGAATCTTCGGCATCTTGATCTGTCTGGATGTGAAAAAATCACAGACATGGCTCTAGAGAAGATTTCTAGAGCTCTTGGAGTGCTGACATCTCATCAGAGTGGCTTTTTGAAAAGTGCAGGCAAGGCCACTTCAGCTCCATGGATAAATAAAGACATTACCATGCAATCCTCCAAGCAGTATGCCTGCTTGCACAATTTAACTGACAAAGGTGTTGGTGAAAAAATAGACAATGATCACTCTTGGACTAAACCTGTATCTTCTGAAAGTTTTACTTCTCCTTACGTGTGGATGCTAGATGCTGAAGATTTGGCTGATATCGAAGATGCTGTAGAGTGGAGACACAGAAATGTCGAAAGTCTCTGTGTAATGGAAACAGCCTCCAACTTTGGTTGTTCTTCATCTGGTTGTTACAATAGGGACTTTGTGGGATTAAGGACCAGAGTTTGTTGGCAGCAGCATTGTGCTTCTCCAGCCTTTGCATATTGTGGTCATTCATTCTGCTGCACAGGGACAGCTCTAAGGACTATGTCTGCACTCCCAGCGACTTCTACAATGTGTAGGAAAGCATTAAGGACTACATTGCCTAGGGCAAAAGACTTAATTTATTTTGGGAGTGAAAAGTCTGACCAAGAGACTGGACGAGTACTTTTGTTCCTCAGTCTATCTGGATGTTATCAGATCACAGACCATGGTCTCAGGTGAGTGATCAGTTCCAGTTATTAGGAAATGGACATATTCTTACTCATTCAGTTCAAGTGCATTGTGATATATAGAGGAATATGTATTTAGAAGTTTAATTGCTTAGTAACTGGCCACATTACATTTTTTTTTAATATGTTTTGGTGGGTTGATGTATAGGTTATTGTCTCAAGGGCATTGCAGAAGTACATTTTATATTGAGGACTTTGGAAAGCATGTCTGTTGTAGTTTGGTGTGATTTTTTTTATAGCCTTGAAGTGCCTGTAACCAAATTGCTGTTGGTTTGCATCCACTCATTGCTGCTGTTGAGACACGTTTTAGTAAGTAAGTAGCCTTGGCTGGCCTGGCGCTTGCCTAGTAGACCAATCTGGCTTTGGACTCACAGAGATTGACCTAGTTCTGACTCCTAGGTGCTGAGATTAAAGACAACACTTGCTGCAATTTTGAGCCAAGGACTCTCACTCTGTCCCAGGCTGCCCTCATACTTGCTGCAATCTACTTCCTAGAACCACATGGGAGTTCATGAGTGCTTGAAACCTTCTCTAACTCTAGTTCTAGGTGACCCAGTGCTCTCCTCTGTCCTCTGAAGGTACCACATATCATCTTGATACGAACATACATGTAGGCATATCACATCCAGTTTTGGCATTGTTGGAGATCAAACCTATAGACTGTGTATTGTAGGCAAGAACTCTAGAAACTTTGTGACATCCCAGCCCTATAAGCACAATCTTTAGCATAGGATACTAATTGCCTTCAACTTCCCTATTACTCCCCCCCTTTTTTTTTAGTGGAGAGAAAATTGGGGGTGAAGTGTTCAGTATCTCTGAGTGACTGACAGGCAGATCTCACCAGCCAGGTCTTCCATATGCTGTGGGGACCCACCTAGAACTGTTAGGTTATGAATACTCTTTTTCTTTTTGGATTTATTTTTAATTATGTATGTAGGTATGTGTTTTTCATTTGCACATTAATGGGGGTCTTTGCTGAGGCCAGAGTCAATGGATCCTCTGAAACTGGAGTTATGGTTGGTTATGAGCTGCCTGATACAGATGCTGGGAACAGAACTTGGGTCCACTGGAAGAGCAGTAAGTACTCTTAATCTGAGTCATCTCTCCAGCCCCTGTTAAATGGTGTTATAGGCAGTACATGCAGAAACATACACCTATATACATAATTAAAAATATGCTGGAATGGAGTTAAATACTTTAGAATTTCATGGGTTTTAATAATTTGATTTTGACCTGGCTTTCCTCCAAACTATTTCAGCTTCCCCATTCTGGGATAGGTGTATGCCCCCATGGTGGGCATATGTTTAAAACAGGAATTGATTTTTGTGTGTTGGTTTATTTATTCCTCTATTTTGTTGAACTTGTTATTGTTAACTGTGTTTTGTAGTGATTTTTTTTTCTTCTTTTTCCCTATATTGATGAAATAACCCAGGACATTATATGTATCAGACAAGTGCTTTTCAGTTGAGCTAAACTCCTAAGTCTGTGTGTGGATTCTTTAAGTTTTTCTACATCCAATGTCATTTATAAACAGATCATTTTCATTATACCTTTCCTGTTTGGATGCATTTGCTTTATTTTGTTTACTCAGTTGATCTGACTAAACTTACAATGTTTTAACATAAGTAGAAATGACAGTACTATTTCAGTGATTGTAGCTATGAAAAGGTTTAGAAATAGAAAGTTGTCTTCCAATTGTGTTAAGATTGTTTGGCTCTCTGGAGCCTCTTGATACTAAACATGAATGTTAAAGGTAACTGTATCACTGAAAAGCCCACCCACCATGAATCACAAGGCTGCACCCAGGGCTCCCTATGAGGCAGCTCTACAGAAGAGTTTTCTCATCCTCCACAATTATTTACTGCATGTGTGATGTTGGCAAAGGGCCTTGTGAATCCTGAGCTGAGTCTTGTAAGTGTGGTGAACTTCTGAGTCTAGTGAGTTTTATGGATTTATTGAATCTTCTGAGCTTCTGCCTCACAGAGAGAGTGTTTCAATTTAGGGAAAATAGTATACAACACCCCTTCCTTCCTTCCTTCCTTTCTTTCTTTCCTTCCTTCCTTCCTTCCTTCAAGAGAGAGTGTTTCAATTTAGGGAAAATAGTATACAACACCCCTTTCTTTCTTTCTTTCTTTCTTTCTTTCTTTCTTTCTTTCTTTCTAGATTTTATTTATTATGTATACAACATTCTGCTTCCATGTATATCTGCACACCAGAAGAGGGCACCAGATCCCATAACAGATGGTTGTGAGCCACCATGTGGTTGCTGGGAATTGAACTCAGGACCTCTGGAAGAAGGTCCTGGAAGTCAGTGCTCTTAACCTCCGAGCCATCTCTCCAGCCTCTACAACACCCCTTTCTAGAACTCTGATTCATCCTATACCCACATCCCTGATGTTCTCTGAGTTTTGGAGGGGCTGATAAAGAAATGATTATTTTTCTCCATTTATGGCTGAGCATTCATTTTACCATCTGCTACAGCACTTAATCTCAGCATCTGGACAAGTTCTGAGTCTTTGAAAACTGCTTAATGTTTTCCTCCGTGACTGAGATTGACAGCCTCCGTAATCTGTGGGCACAAATACAAATGTTTAATTGAATGCAGTTTCTAAAAACTGCACATCATATTTACTTAAACAAAACAGTAGTAGTGACCTCTCTGGCTGCCAAAGCATAGAGAGGTAGCCCATTTTGGGTACTGTGACTTTTAAAGAGTGCCTTTCTCTTTATGTGTAAGGTGCCTTTCTTCAAACTGTTTTGTCTTTTGTGGGGTGTGGGGTGATGGGTGGGAGTGATGTCTTAATTAGGGTTTTATTGCTGTGAAGAGACACCATGATCATGGCAACTCTTAAAAAGAAAGTATTTAATTGGGGCTGACTTACAGTTTCAGAATTTAATTCATTGTCATCATGGCAGGACATGGTGGCATGCAGGCAGGCATGGTGCTGGAGGAGGACCTGAGAGTTCTGCATCTTGATCCATAGTCAGCAGGACATTGTGTTCCTCAAGCCAAGCTACACTGGGTGTAGCTTGAGTCTATAAGACCTCAAAGTCCACCCCCACAGTGACATTCTTCCTCCAATATGACCGACCATACCTCCTAGTAGTGCTCACTCTATGGGCCAAGCATTCAAACACATGAGCCCATGAGGGCCATACTAATTCAAACCACCACAGGGAGTAAGGGATCCCAGAAACCTGTGTGACACTTGAGTCTTGGAAGAGGGTCAATCTCTGAGGCAGATTTGGGTGTAGATTGGCCAAAAAACTGGTGTCTGGGGCTGGAGAGATGGCTCAGTGATTAAGAACACTTGTTGCTTTTGAGTTCAATGCCAAACTTACTCACATTCTTCTGTAACTTCAGTTCCAGAGGACCTGATGCCCTCTTCTGGCCTCCACATACATATAAAATAAAGTTAAAAATAAAACCAAAACTAATGTCAGTGACTCTGAGGTACCTGTCAGCACCATGGGCCCAGGGGCCTAGGTTTTAGTTTCCACTGGAACAATGTGTCATCTCAATCTGATAATAGTGTGACTGCTTAGGATGACCAAGGCACCATTTTCTCTGGAGGCAGGAGTACTACTTTGCTTGAGGTATGGGCCATAATCATGGTGACAAGGGTATTTATTCCCTGGGAATTTGGAATCATGGGCAGGTGTGACTCTGATCACAAAGCCTTAGGGATAGAAGGATGCCATGACTACTTCCCTCTGGAGCAGGGCATGTTCCAGCAGTTGGTTTTAGTTCCCAAAACGTTATAATGCAGCCAATGCATGGGTAGGAGATGGGACACAGTGTTGTCTCCTTCTGTGGCATATCACAGCTGTGTGGTCTCTAGTTAACTCTGTCAACTGTTTAATACTTAGAGGACTGTAAGTGTTCAAGTGTTCACCACAATGGGGTTGCTGGAGGTCCTTTCTTTCCCTTTACCTACAATAAGAAAGAAGTTCCTCCTGGTTGCTGGTTGGGGATTGGGTTGTGGAGATGAAATGTTTTCTTTCATTGTGGTGAGGCTACTCTGGACTCAAGGTTGTATACAGAGTTTCTGATATATTCCTTCTCCTTGTGTTAGTTTCATCCAAGTGTAGTTTTTATTGGTTGTCTTGCTGACTTTTGGGGAGGGACCAGCTGTTAGGGTCATTTAGTTGGCTATCTTGCTGACATCTCCTAAAAACTCTTAAAGTCAATGTTTACTAGCTCTACCATCTTTATTATTTATTATGTGTTACTAATGGGTGATTTTCCTCCCATATTGTTTTAATATTTAAAAGTTTTTCATTGGGTACTAAATAATTTGAATTACATATCATTGAATTTGGGACTTTTTAATTCTTTAATAATTATTCCCTTTGAATCACTATTGTTTGAATCAGTTCTATAACTTGCACATTTTTCTGTGCTTTTTCTTCTCTTTGTATGCTTTATTAATTGCTCCTTTCCCTGGCATTTCCTTGTTTATTATTCATTTGTCTTTCTGTTATTTCAGCCTGTGTCTGATGTACTTAGGCATTTGTGACAGGACACAGAGATATTACCAGAATACATTTTCTTGCTGTTTGTTACTAATACATTTTAGTCTATCATTGACTTATACTGCCTTTGTTTAAAACCAACTTTATAGCATTTGCTGCTAAACTTTGTAATTTTGATATTTCGACTTTTTACTATTCTTATCCTTGCCCAGAACACACATGGGGTGAGGGGGATGCATTCACATACACACTTCAACTTTAGGCCTAAATAGCTGTTTACTTATTTTTTTATGGTACTGTCTTCTTTTGTCTTTAATAATTTTATTTTCTCTTTGTAACAGTACTACAGGATAAAAATTCTTATTATTTCTCTCGTAGCATATGTCATTATAAGAAACCTTTTTTGACCTCTCAAAACCTTTCTGTGTGTTTTCAGAAGAGTAGTCCTCATGTGGTATTATAATTGCTTGTTTGTATTCATAGTTGCTTTCCCACTGAGAGCCAATAAAGACAGTGACTGTACGGATTATTGATTTAGATATACTTCTAATAGAAACATTTTACATTTCATTCAGTTTGTTTTATATTCAGACACTATTTGAGCTCTTTTAGACTAACCTTTGAAAGGAACATTTTTTGTTGTGAATTTGCTAAAGTTCTTAGACTTTATGAACTAGTGGGTTTTAAGTATTTTCTTCTTTAAAGGCTTTTCTTGGCCCAATAAATCCCAGCACTTAGGCTGAGGCAAAAGATTCTTTCTATACCATCCTTGGCTACATGAGTTCAAGGTCAGCTTGAACTACATAGTGAGACTCTGTCTTAAAAAAAAATTCCCTCATTCCTGTCAAACCATGTAGATTCTGAACTACTACCATTGTTAACCTGAAGTCTATAGAGATGACAAAATGGGTACTTCATAGCTGTATAACATTTGATTGTATGGATATAACACATTTTGTTTATCCATTCTTCAGTTGGCCTTTGGGGTGATTTTGCTTTTTATCTGATGTGACTAATACTGCTGTGGACATTTATATGTTAGTTGTGGTATAAACATGTTTTATTTCTCGTGTGTGTGTGTGTGTGTGTGTGTGTGTGTGTGTGTGTGAAGGTCAGCTTGAACTACATAGTGAGACTCTGTCTTAAAAAAAAATTCCCTCATTCCTGTCAAACCATGTAGATTCTGAACTACTACCATTGTTAACCTGAAGTCTATAGAGATGACAAAATGGGTACTTCATAGCTGTATAACATTTGATTGTATGGATATAACACATTTTGTTTATCCATTCTTCAGTTGGCCTTTGGGGTGATTTTGCTTTTTATCTGATGTGACTAATACTGCTGTGGACATTTATATGCTAGTTGTGGTATAAACATGTTTTATTTCTCGCGTGTGTGTGTGTGGGTGTGTGTGTGTGTATACCTAGGGGAAAGACTTATTAACTTATTAGGTTGTTGGGGGCACAGAGCTCCTTGTACTCACCAGAGAAGCACTAAGAGAACCAGGAATGTTTATCATACAGGGATATCTTATCTCCTCACTGGAGGAGAAAAAAGCCAAATACCTGCATTCCATCCAAAAAGTTGAGAGTGGATTTTGTTAATGACCTGGTGACCTTTTGCTATCTGTAGAGGCAGACCTCGCCCAAATCACCCTGAATGATTATCTGAACTCTTTCCTCCCCAGACCATTACCCATCCTTAGGGGAGATGTCACATGTACTTTATGGTCTTCTGACGTCACTTTGTGCTATCAGTCAGAGACCACACATTAGATTCTAGCTCTTTTAGCTATAGAAGCCACCCTCGTGATCAAATGTACTTTGTAAAGGAGTTTCTATGTAGTCCAAGCTTTATCTTGCGCCTGAAATTGAACCAATTGGACTGATAGTTGCCTGGAAACCTTTTCCTAAATTGTACTGTGTTTTAAATATGCTGACAATGAACCACCTGGCATTAGATGCCCCGAAGTGGTTGGTGAAGTCAGTCTGCACCGGGTTTTATGGTTATTTCTTCATGTGTTTGGTTCACTTCCCTTTCTGACACCTGTAGGGCTCCCCTCACTAGGTTATGGGAGGAATTCCAGAACTGGTAATTAGATTTCAGACTTCAGGAATTTTCTTGATAATTTTCAGTAGGAGAATGAACAGTACATCTCTAGGTCTCAATGTTTCTTCATATAAGAATTGAGTTGTTATAAATGGTCTTATAAAGCAACGTCCTATGCTTCTTTATTGGAATCTTTAGGAAAAAGCTAGAACATTTTTGGAGTCATATGTTTCTGCCTTAGGATGAGTCAGTTATCAGTGTTTTATAAAAAATTTATTATCAAATTTGAGAGGTATGTAAAATATTGATAGAGTGAACTATTGTAATATTAAAAATTTCAAAGGTTAGTATTTCCTGACTGTCACATTATTTCTCTCGCAGGGTGTTGACTCTGGGAGGAGGGCTGCCTTACTTGGAGCACCTTAATCTCTCTGGCTGTCTTACTGTAACTGGTGCGGGGCTGCAGGATTTGGTCTCAGCATGTCCTTCCTTAAATGATGAATACTTTTACTACTGTGACAACATTAACGGTAATGCCTTTTAACAGTGAACTACTTAAAGGAGTGCATTTAGATTTTTTGGCAGTTCTAATAATTTTTATTTGCTTTCTAGATTCTCAATTGCACAGATTTCAGGTTTAGTCCTTTAAATTTAATAAAATTAAAATGATTTGGGTTTCCAAGGTAATATAAACAAAATACCATTCATTTTCACTTACTTCTTGAAGTTAAGTTTCTTTATCCATTCTAACAGATTATTGGGCATGTAAGAGTTTAAATCATTTGAAAATGACAAGTTGTTACAGAAATACTAAGTTTATTCCGAGATTTTGGGGATTCTACTGTAGTATTGTAGCACTCACCATTAACAATTGACTAGCTTTGATTTCTAGACACACTGATTTCTTAGGAATGACAGACTCATGCTCCTTACAGCACTGCTTTATCCATCGTGTTAGATAGACAAAGGAAGACTCTGGCAATGTGAACTCTGGAGCCCCGAGTCTTGTTTCATATTATTCTCTCTTAAGTAGATTATGCAGTATTGAGAAAAGACCGAGAGTCTTCCTTATGTATGACCAAAATTTCTATACTGTTTTAGAGGTTGCTCCTGAACCGATTTAAAAACCATGAAGTAGAGATTTGAAAGAGTGCTTGCATAGCATGCATGAAATTCTGGGTTTGAGCCCCAGCACCACATAAAATCAAGAGTGGTGGCTTGTTCTTGTAATTAATCCCAGTACTCAGGAGGTAGTTTCAGTAATTCAAGGACATCCCTTGCTTCAAGTCCAGCTTGGACTATGTGAGACTCCATCTTAACCCCCCCCCACCTCCCACAATATCAGTTAAGCATCCCCCCCTTTTAAAAGTCTGTTGGTTAGAACATGATTTTCAAATTATATTTGTTGCTTTTTTGGACATTTGACCGTGTTTAGTAGAAACTGATTTTTTCAAAAGCATAATAAAGCTTCTCAATTATTAATAAATAGAACAAATCCCTTCTTAACTAAAAACAAATTTAAACAGCTCCATTCTACTATATACCTATCTTACACTGTTGTTTTTGGGAGCCCAGTTATTCTGAAATGAGAGGGAAGATCAGAGTTTATCTGAGGGAGAACAGTTGACAGGAGCAGGAAACTAGAGAGAAGGAAACCATTTTAGCATGCAGAGAAGTTAGCAAATTTCCTATTGCTTGGAATTTAGATTTCTCTTAAAATAAATGAGATGGAGATCTCAGCTCTTTTGTTTCTGGAAGAGCTGACATGTTCTTGACAAAAGTAACTTCTTAGAACCTATCTTTTTCTTGCTGACAGTATAGAAGAAGGAGTGGAAAGAAGAGAAAAAAAGTTTTTTTGTTTTGTTTTGTTTTTTGTTGTTATTGTTGTACCTAGTTGAACAAAGGAAAAAGGATATTCATGAATGGAATGTTTTGTTTGTTATAAAATAAAACCACAGGGGACTGGACAGATGACTTAGTGGTTAAGTGGATGACTCATATTGTTCTTACAGAGGACCAGAGTTTGGTTCCCAATAAGCACACTGGGCAGTTTGCAACTGTCTGTAGTTCCAGGGCATCCAACACCCTATATGGCTTCTGTGGTCAATGTACTCATGCACATAAATTCAAACACAGACATGTAATCTCAACAACTAAAAATAAATATAGCTGTTCTGTAGACCAGGCTGGCCATGAACTCACAGAGATCCGCCTGCCTCTGCCTCCCCAGTGCTGGGATTAAAGGCGTGCACCACCAACGCCTGGCCAGTAAATATATCTGTTAAAAACAAAGCTTCCCAAGGCTTATAGGATGCATTTTTAGACTAATTAATAAGTAACTTTTAAATAAGATATTTTGTATGTTACATTTGAATTGCCTATATACTTTCAGTACGGATTGTGTTTGGAAACAAATCTCATAACCTAATTTGTTGTGTTTAGTGGCTTTAGGTATTTTAGTGAAAAGTATTGAGTTTTAGTTCATTTTTATTATCTGCCTACTTTGTACTTAAGTGTTTTTAAACTTTTTGAAAAATATTTAGATGAAGAAGTTAAATGCTTAAAATCTTTTGTACTTTAATATTATTTTTATCGTAATCTGTTTTGAATATGTAATATCGGCATTCCAAAGGAGCTATTTATTCCTTTGCTGAATGTAATTTTTTTATTTCCAATTTTCAGTAGGAAATTTTAATTTAGAGATCATTTTCTTTTAAGTTTTGAAAGGTATTTATAGTACTTGAAATAGTGCTAAATTTCTTAAATTGGTAGAGCATGATTTGGATGAAATGAAAATCCTTTAACATTTATAGGGTGACTTCTCATTTAATGCATTTTCTAGGATTCTAGGTAGTTGTTCTTAAAGCAATACTTTGAGTAAGTCTTTTTTGTAAAAGAACTTATAAGGTACTAAAATTATACCTAGTTATAAAAGGTGACAGCATTGGCATAGTGTCTTTGAAAGCTCAGCTTGTACAGGAAATACTTGGTGAAGGTTTAGGCTTATTTCTGAAAGTAGGTAAGATCTAGTACATGGTTCAGAGTAATGAGGAAGCATACATATTTGAAAATAACATTTAATTTAAAATGTATTTTGTTAAAAGAAAATCTATGTAATTACCACATTATTTACTAAAAAAATTTAATGCTGATAAACTTTACTTATAGATTAAGTAATGAATGAAAAGGCAGAATGACCTACATCCTAAGCACTGGCAGACACTGGGGAAGGTGTTAGCCATCAATTCCATTTCTACTTTGAGCAAGATATTGTACTAAGCTCTGATGCCAAACACACCCTCTGGCTCTTCTGAATGATTCTCCATGATTTTTGAATTGTTACTTGACTTGAATATGCAAGGTGTCTTACCTGTAATATTCACACAAACCTTTGTCATTAACGTGGTTGCTGTTTGGCCTAGTTTTGAGCTCTGAAGAACATTTGAACAATGTTAGTGAGTAAACTTCGTTGTGCTGCTTTGCATTTCAGTTTGTGCATAATTTAGCAGTTAAGATAGATTAGCTCATAGTTCTGGAGATGACAGTCTCAGATGATTTGCTCTCTTATGTTTCTAATTTAAGTTAAAAAGGAATTAAAGGTAAGTGAAGGTAAGTGAAGACATACGCACAGCATGAGTAATATATAGTACTTAAAACCAAGGAAAAACATGTTATTTTATGAACAGAATAAATTAGCTGCCTTTGTAGTTCTTTTCATCTAAATATAAAGAAGTAGTATTCTTTGCTTTAAAAATTAGGAGAGTTTTACCTTTTAATTTTCTATATTCTCACTATCATTTAGGCTGATATATTAAGTGGCTAAGTCAAATATTTAGAGGGAAGTGTTCTTTGAATTGTTAGTCTGTGGGAGAATACCATCTTTGACCACTTGTACTGAGGAGGATTTTTTTAAAAAATATATTTTAAATGTTTGACATACACCTTAATTAAAAATGGAAGATTTTAATATTAAATAAAAATGGACCTGTAGTGCTCCAGTTTTATAGGGTATTTTTTTAGACGTACAAACATGTTTGTATTAAATAAAAATGGGCCTGTAGTGCTCCAGTTTTATAGGGTATTTTTTTAGACGTACAAACATGTGCAATCAGTTTCAAGAGTCTGAAATCTGAGGGCCAATCTTTTTTAATTTATCGTATTTCTCATTTCCATATTGTATGTCATGTCCATTTCCTCTATTTGAAGCTAATTCAGACATGTCAGTCTTCAATATGTAAACATAAGTAAAATAATAATTGATTCCAATTCTACACATGAGTGTAAAATTCAGTGTTTTCCTTAATTTTCCATTTACATAATAAAATATATGAACATTATATCTCAGTGACATTCTCCTAAGAAATTCTTCATTTTCTTTCATATGTGCTGTCTTGGGAATAAAAGGAAATGTTAAACTTCTGGTGATAGATACATGTATTCTGTATTTAATTTCAGTTACCATGATTTCTATCTTACACGGGTATTAGCATATTCACCCTTTGCATATACTGCTGCTCTTAAAAAGCAGATGATGGTGGCACACCTTTAATCCCAGCACTAGGGAGGCAGAGCCAGGTGGATCTCTGTGAGTTCCAGGCCAGCCTGGTCTCCAGAGCGAGTGCCAGGATAGGCTCCAAAGCTACACAGAGAAACCCTGTCTTGAAAAACCTAAAAACAAAACAAAACAAAAACAAAACAAAAACAAAACCAGAGTGATGCAAATGGACACTATTTTTGAGTTAAGCTGTGATCACTGAGGGGGTTTATTAGATACATTCTACATTGAAATTCTGTTTCATAATATTTCATTTTGTTTTGTCCTTATGTATCATAATTGCAAGCTTTGGTTTTTCCCAGTCAAAGCATCAAAAACTGCTCCTTAATTCAGTGTACCACCAGCTACATTGAATCTCTGAAATGCTAGAAACAACCTTGTACATTTTTTTCCCCTTATGAAAACAGTTTTATTCAGAGCACTCTCTAACTTTGGTGAAATTCCTGTTAACTTTTCTAATTTTTAGCTATGCTCCTGAATCTAGATCTTTCATCTAGTGTCTGATTGCATAGTGCAGGTTGGGTAAAATTCCGCAAGTGGTTTATTATTGTTTGTAAGTGAATCACTATTTTATATTCTAGATGTTTACTTAATCACTCATTCTGCATTCAGTTTTGGGAAGTAATTTCGCCTAAAGCTACCATTTATTTTTGTTCAGAGTTCTACAGATGATCAGAATATGGCACATCATATTGTTTTAAACTTTGAATATGACATTTAATCTAATTTCAGTGCTGCATTATTGAGTTGACACAGTTCAGGTGGGGTTTTATGTTTTGTGTTAATTGTGTTTCTAGGAAGGATGCTCGAAGAGTTTGTTTTTAAATTATCTAGCACTCTTATTGTTTCTGTGGATTGTCTTCTTTTCTTCTTGGGTTATAAGATTCTTGGGAAATTTTACTATGTTCCATATTCTATGGAGGATATTTTTGGGAATTTGTGTCTGAATTTTTAATGCTTTTACTATAAAATTTTACTTTCATGATGTCAGTGAACTGCTAATAAAGCAGTTTCAGATTGATAGGCAGAACTGTTTTTGCATGATCTACAAGAAGTTCCTCCTTTCACATGTCTTTTACTTTCATACAGGTCCTCATGCTGACACCGCCAGTGGATGCCAGAATTTGCAGTGTGGTTTTCGAGCCTGCTGCCGCTCTGGCGAATGACCCTTGACTTCTGACCTTTGTCTACTTCAATTAGCTGAGCAGGCTTCCTTTCATGCACTTTACTTATAGCACATTTCTTGTGGTAACAGCCCCCTTTTGGGTGTGTTTTGTTTTGGCCCCATTTCTTACAGTCTCAGAAATTTAATTTAGCAGTCAACTGTACAGTGTTGTTTTTCCTTGCAAAATATATTTTTTTTAGATAGGGATTAGGTTTTTTTTTTTTTCTCCTTTAATTAGGATGAGAACAGACTTACTGGTTTCTTTTAAATGAAATGCTTTAAAAAGTGTATCACTAATGCCATGGTATTTAAAGTATTTTTAGATTATTTTGCATTTTAGTCAGTGGGGGTTATTGGTTCTCTATGTGTAAGCACTGTACCAAGTTTTACAGATCCTTTCAGATACACTTTCTGAACTTTTATTTTCAAAAGACTGAACATTTTGGAAATGAATCTCTTTTCCTAACATTTTCTTTATTTTAATAATTCTCAGGAGCCAATTCAAACACACCTAGAAATGAGATTCTTTAAGATTGTAGAATAAATTGGCCTCTCAGTATTTGCTCAGTGAGCTAGCAAAAGCACCTGTCTATTTGTATTTGCTTTAGACAACTGGTTCCACTACTGTCCCTAAACTGTCGAATTTGGGAGGGATTTTTAAAAATTCCACAATTGTTTAAAGAAATGTATAAATAAAATCTACTTTGAGAACTTTACCAAGCAATATCATGTGTTGTGATTTTATTTTAAATCTGATTTCAGGTTAACTAAATGTTTTATTTATTGAGCCTCCATGAAATTATGACTCTTGAGACATTAACAGTTTTAGATACTAAAATTGAATTAAATTTTCTTTTTGAAATGAATTATAATTGTGAAGTTATAGAAAATAGTGCCCTGTCTCTTGTCTTTTCCTTGCTTCTCCTCTTAAGTGCAAACAAAACCGTGGAAGGTAGTAATCCTGCAGTCAGCTTCATTATAGCTGTATTTCCTGCCTGTTTGGGAAGGAGCAGAGCTGGGGAGACTGTTTCAGTGTGTCTAAAAATGAAGCAAGAGTTAATTTAACCAGTCGGAGGAATTCTGGAACACTTTGCAGTTCAGCTGACATTTGAATTAAACACTGGCATATCTACTGACATTCTCTTTGAAGTATCACCCTGCTGTTGTGAGTTTTCATTTTGATTTCGTTATCATTTGAAAACAAAATAGAACCCTGCAGATTTGGTATAGGGCTGAGCACATGTACATCGAGGTAACCTTAGCATTTTGAGTTTGTTACTCCTGTGAGGAATTTATCGAGTCTTGTGCACACTAAAATTAGCTTACTCCTGAATGTACAAAGGAAAAAAACAGTATCTCCTCTGTGAGAATGTGAAAGGAAATTGAATATAGAGTCAAGTCTAAAGTTTGACTATTTTGTAAGATATACTGTAGTTACTGTGTTTTTATTTCTCAAAGTGTTTCATAATGCTTATTTGTGGGCAGGTACCATTTTTGAGAAAAAAAAAGCTGAAAATTTTCTAGGAATGAGTCTTATGCAAATGTGTACTTCATTTCTCAGTCTTAACTTGAAATTGCACACAATGAGAGGACTTACGCTTAGCATAACTCCAGGTAATCAGAAAACAGTATAGCTTGTAGGGATATTGTCTTCTATGGTCTTATGAGGGGAAAGGGCTAAGAAGGGAAAGGGTTTAAGAACCTGGCTTAGATACTGTCTTTACTAAATTAATGTTGAACAGCTGTAAGGAATGAAAGTTTTTTTTTTAATGTATACATTGTTTCTTGTTCTTTATGTAAGAGGATAGTTTAGCATGACACTATATTCTTGGTTTCAATTTATTTGGGATTTTATGATTGCTTTCTGAGAATAAACTGTAGCAGTTGTGTAAATTGCATCATGTACCTGATAAACTTTAGATGTTAAATGTAAGGTCAGTGTTGTACTCTAGATGTGCCAGCTTTTATAAGCTTCCCACAGTGCAATGGGATGGGTAATATGATCATCCTCAGTGTAATTATGTGAAAAGTAAATAACTTGCCCATGATAATCCAGCTAGGAAGTGGTACCACTAGGATTTATACAGAGTTCATCTTCTTAATTATGGTGTTGCTATGTCTCTTTAATATTTTGTAACTGTTATAAACCAGTCAGGCAATTGCCCTTTAATGAGTTCATTAGAGTAGCAGAGTAGAAACAAACATAATTGCATTGTAACTTGGTAGAGGAATGTGTCAGTTAAAGCAAAGGTTAAAGTTGATACTGAGTCTCTACTGTCTCTCAATTGGAGGTCATTCTTTTACAGAGTTCATTATGCATTAGTGATTATTCTTGGTTGCCAAAACTTGGTTGAGGAGAACTCAACTGGAGCAGATATCTACTGGGTTGAAGCCAGGTAGGCTGTTACACATCTTAAATTTTTTTTTTATTAGATTTATTTTATGTGTATTTTGCCTACATGTTTGAAGTGTATGTACATCCTGTGTTATAGTGTCTGTAGAGGTCAGAAAAGCATACTGGAGTTAAGGATGGTTATATTATGAACTGCCATATAGATGCTGGGAATCAAATCTGGAGCCATAAGTGCCCCTAACTGCTGAGCAGTCTCTCCAACCCCTACTGTCAGACATCTTACAACACATAGGACAGCTTTCCACAAAGAGTAATTTGAGAAGTCCTGCTTTGGTATTCTGTTTTGCATACATCTTTGCATATCAGTACATACTACATATTTAATCTCCCCCCTTGTGTGTGTGTGTGTGTGTGTGTGTGTGTGTGTGTGTGTGTGTGTGTTTAAATGCACCTGAGTGTCTGTTTGGGATTATACTAAAACCCATTAAAGCCACTGTAGAGGCTGAACCTTCATGACCTAATTACTTCTCCAAAACTTTTATCTTTAAATACTGGGGATGATGCCAGGGACAAGGGTATGAAATGGGACATGGATTTTCGATCTATATTTTTTTTTTTCTTTGTAAAATCCCTTTTGATAACTTAAATACTGTCCTTTCCCCACCACACTTACCAATATATTTTTTTAGTGGCTGTGCATGTGTTTAAGCACTTGCCTTGCTCTTTGTAACATATCATTAGTTTTATGGGTTGGTCCATGTTTCTCTAGAGAAGTTGTAAAGAGTTAATTTACTGGGTCTTGGAGTTATGGTTGCCTTTCTGCTGGACAGACAGAAGTGAAGGGTACAAAAGACAAAGCAAGTGTAGAAGTCTGAAGACTAGTGCTCATAGCGGTCTCAGTTGTGTTTGGGATCAAAGTGTCACGATGAGACAGACTAGTAGTTCCCAGCACTCCGGAGGCAGAGGCAGGAGGATCTCTGAGTTTGAGGCCAGCCTGAAACTGCTGAGCAAGTTCCAAGACAGCCAAGGTTACACAGAGATACCCTGTCTCAAAAAATAAAAGACAAACAAAAAGTAGTAATAATAAAAAATAAAAAAGTGTGGGAACTTTACACAGTTTTTGAAAATAGATAATTTTATTACTTCAAAATATTTTTTATTCCATTACAATTCAAAATGTATATACTAGTAGTCTTTAGGTGATTAAAAAAACCACATAAAAAATTACCTGTTACGTACAAGGGAAGCAACATAGATCCAAACAGACAAAACATTTTTGGGATAAGGGTGGATATATACAGCTAAAGCAAATTCAACATTAGGAACATCAATGTTGTGTACTCCAGTGCTATATACCGCTTCAATCAAAGGTTTCACTTCAGAATAAGGCATGTGAAGGGGAAATCCAGAGAACTGAGGAGAAAGAACACATTTGTATTCATAAGTAAAGTTTAAAGAAAACAAAGTACATTTCTTTATATAAGTTATGTAATTCTTAAATTGAATCTTTAGAATGATGAGATTATTTCAGTTTCTCTGTTCAATATATTTTAACATAAAAATTGAAGTTTTAATATTTTTGTTTTAATTACTGGCATATTAATGTGTCACCAGTCATTCACTGTTCCCATCTCTTGATAGTCCTTAGTATGCAAATGGCCCCAGTAATTCCACAGACCCAGTAAAGCTAATCAATGCATTCTAACACAGACAAAAAAGTCAGTTTACAGGTCTGGGCATGTGATCATGAGTTTCTGGAAACTTGCTATGAATAGTGACACACAGGTACTCTCACTTGTTTTGGGCAGTGTGTGCAGATGTATCTCTTGGACTTGTTCTAACATTTGTTTCTGTGAATAAAGCCTGCCTGAAGATGTCATTACATGGAAGAGGTCAAGGTGGTAAGACTTGCAAAGAACTGGAAGTTTTCCACTGAAAACATTCTAATAAGTTAATTGTTAGTTTTCATTTTACACAGTGACTTGTCCATTTTGGGTTTCATACTGTTTATCTTACTGCACTAATTACCAAGTTGCCTTTTTTATTACCCACCTGTAGGATGTGACATTTGGGACAAACCACCAACAGGTAGTAGACAGAATATATAGTTTGTTAGTGGGAACTTTTATTGAAAAATCAGTTGTTAAAAAACCATACCCTGAAAACTTAACCAAGTGTTTATTTTAATCTTTATGTTCAGTTGAGTTTAAAGCTTTAGCCAGGTGTTTCTATTTACATTTCATAGAAAGTGTTTTTCATAGGATCATATTGATAATTACTAAGTTTTTTTTTTTGTTTGTTTGTTTTTTTGTTTTTCAAGACAGGGTTTCCCTGTGGCTTTGGATGCTGTCCTGGAACTAGCTCTTGTAGACGAGGCTGGTTTCGAACTCACAGAGATCTGCCTGCCTCTGCCTCCCAAGGGCTAGGATTAAAGGCGTGCGCCACCACTGCTCTGCCGATAATTACTAAGTTTTAAAACAGGTCATCATATTTCTTTTTTTGATGTGTGGTACATCAAGTGCTTCACAGGTCTTGTTTGTGTAGGTAGTTAAATGCCCCCAAATGATTACTGGGTAACTTACAGTGTGGGGATGAGGAAAACCACTGGTCATTTTGCAACACTTGTGCTTACCCTGTAGTCTCCCAGCTGCTTCAGCAGTTCCGCCCTGTGGTCATCTTCTATATCTTCCCCTTGACTTCTTTCCAACAGAGGCAAAAAGTGGCGCAAGGTAGAGGTACAGTACCTGTTCCATCGAGTCAGATGACGTGGCCTCCAGTCCATGATTTTGTCTTTTAGTATTTTTTCAATCCTGTTCATAAAAATAAACTTAATTATTATTGTTTGTTATTTAACTTTTCCCATGTTCAAAAACTAATTTGTATGCAGTATGGGGTTTAGGTGAATGCTTGAATGCATCTTTGGTGGTGGTGTTTTCCCAGGTAGATTAGCAGCTACTTAAGTTCAAGTACTTAAGTGATCCTTGTTCTTGAAGATTGTAGTCATTGCAACAGGAAATATAGACGGAATAAATAGGAATACAATGCCTCTGGTACGTAGGCCTAGTTAAATTGAGTACATTCAGCAAGACATTTTTTAATTCTAAAATCTTATTTTTCTATTCAGTGGTGATGTGACAAACAGATAAATTATACCCAGGCATAAGGTTTTTATTATGTTGGGAATCTCAAGTATTTATAAAACACTTAATGCCTTATATTGATTTTTGTAACCCAGTGACTCACAATAGTTTTTTTTTTTTTTTTTTTTTAAGTTACCTTAAAAATTTCCTTTAAAAATGGCAGGTATCACTGCATTGGGTTCATAGGCTATGAGGCATGAACAAAGAATGAAGGAAAACTACAACTTGTTAAGGCATTATTAGACACAGTGCTGCCTTTTATACATTTTGATTGATTCCCAGCAATAATGCTTTGATGTAGGGGATACTCCAGTTTTACAGAAGGGGACAGTTTATAATAGGATGACCTAACCTGAGGCAGGGATAGTGGTGTCCATGTTAAACATTGCTGATTTTAAAGCCTCTTGCCTTTGTTAAACACAGGGTGGAGACATCCTGACAGCTCCTCATTGCTCAGGAGCTATGCCCTGCCCCCACTTTTAAGCACTGAACATGTATGTTTAGGTTTTATGGTGGACTGAGTAGAAATTATGGATGGATTGTCAAATACTTTAAAAATGAAGAAATCAGTGAATCTGGTCAATAGTATGCTGAAACCATTACATGAGATTCAGGATTGTAGATTGGTTTCTCTAGATCAGTGGATCGAAACCCTTTTGTGTATATGTGGGGGCATGTCTTAATGACCCTTTCACAAGGTTTGCCTAAGACCATTAAAAAGAAAAAACAGATATTTACATTACATAACAGTAACAAAATTACAAAGTGGCAATGAAAATAATTTATGGTTGGGGTCAGCACAACATGAGGAACTGTATTAAAGGGTTGCAGCATTAGGGAGGTTGAGAACCACTCTCCAGATGGAGATCCCACACAAAGGCTTTATGGAGAAATTGGGAGTAAATTTATGTTCCTATCAATAATGTCTTAAAGGGTTACATTTAATCCTGTATAATTTGACAAACTGTTCTTTATACAATGTGACTTAATGGGAGTGAAGCACAGGCTTTGAAATCAGAATGTCTGGTGTCAGAAGCTTGCTTTACCATTTATGAAGTGTGTGGACCACTCTGAGCCTCAATTCTTACATCTGTTAACCAGGGAGATTAAGTTCAGTTCTACACCATTAGTGGAATTACAAAGACTCACACAGGCTTTAACCAGCCTTCTCTATGGGTCGGGCTCACAAACTAGATGAAGTCCTTCCTACAAGCCACTAACTGAACAAAAGCGGGTGTCTTTAAATTGAGGATTATCATGTATACCAACAAGACCCATAATTATAGGATGTTAATCTTCCATGTGGGTTAGTTTTTGGAGAACTACATGTTACTAATGTTCACCAGTGTATGTTTACCCACAACATGCTTATGCTGATGCCTCATTTTAGTTGTGGGATTTGGGCATCATATCTGTACTTGGTATCTGCAGACATAAAGTCCTAACAACCCTGAACATTTCATATTGATCCAAGCTGAGAGTTTGTTATTATGCTTCTAGTAATGGATTGCCTGTGAATTTGTGGGTATTTTGTTACCTGTCCTGTAGCTCAGCAGCAGCCACTTTGTCTGTGCGTTGATAAATTAGCTCTTCGGGCTATAAAAAGAGAAAGTTCAGTCAGCACCTATACTTAATGTGAATAGGCATTTCTTGCTTTTCTAAATTTATTTTAAATTCCCTGGAGGCCAGAAAAGGGTGTCAGAGCCCTTAGAGCTGTAGTTACAGATGGTTTTAAGCTGCCATGTGTGCTGGTGAACTGAACATAGATCCTCTGCAAGAGCTATAAGCTATGTATTATTGTATCTACCCCTATTTTTCTTTTTAAGTAATGCAATTTGAGCTTGAATAATAAAACACAGCCTAAGAGATGCCAAGGAAAGTAGAACTAAGGGTAAGGGAAGTGTCACAAATTACAGTGCTTTGTTTTTCTTTTATAGTTTCTTTTCCCTTAGCCCTTGTCACACAAGTGACCATGAACTGAAGTTCTATTCACATCTTTCATTCAACTAATATTGAGGACTCACTGTGGCTAAGCACCCTCACAAGTGATGGGCATAAGAATATGGCCATAAATAAACCCTGTGTTGTGTTTACATTGTAGTTAGTGAAGATAAGTGACCTAATACATTGAGTTTATTATTTTACTACAGATTTGTGTATTCCTACAGTCTAGATTGTTTTGCATGTTTTCTAAATTTGAGATCTATTTTACGAACATGCAACTTCCTCTTTCAGCCTTTACACTGTATTAGGGATAAGTAAAACACAGTGCTAAATTTCATTAAGGCAATCATTTGACTACTACAAAGTATTACATCATATAGTATTAATTTGTCTCTTATTATCTCAATTCTTAAACTACCTCAGAATTGCATTCCTGTGGAAAATCTCATATGTACCCCTTCTCACAGGTGAGAAATCTCTGAAGGGCAGTGTAAAGCTGGTTTGAAAGATTTATCCCAGAGTAAAAGGGTATTTTATATTACAAGTGTCTAGTGTGTGTCCAAACATTTTAAGTAAATAATATTCTAATAAATGTTTTAATGAATTAGAATCTACTTGTGAGAATCTGAAGTTAATTTTATGAACTTCCAGTAGGTTGGAACTGTTGTTTGATTTCATCCTTAGCAGTTAGGATCAATTTAGTGAATTAACATTATCAAAAAAATTTAGCTGTATGTATTTTGTGATTATAATAAGTCATGGACTTCCTATATAAAAACTTTCAAATATATCTAAAATGTGAATACCAGTTTTTCATGTGCGTGAATGTATGTTTCTTCATATTAATCTGTTTTAAGTTAGAAAACTAATGTTTTAAATCTTACATATAAATGTAGTATACTAAATAACTAAGTAGAATTGAGGTTCAAGAAATATGTAGTTTTTTTCATGTAAAAATTTCATATCACTTTATCCACATTTGGTTGCTAATAGAATTATACCTGAACACTGGAAAGGCCAGGATATGGAAGACTTCGTGAAAAAAAAGATTTCCATAGTTTGGGCTTTGTTACATCAAAATTTATCCTTAGTGGCGAATCATGGTGTTGAATATTAAACCAAATCTAAAAAAAATACATTAGGATATATATTAGCAGATATGTACATAGGTGTGCACATATATATACACATATATATGTATATATATGATATAGGGAGAGGCAGTGAAGGAAGTACATTAGGATATATGCTAGCAGATGTATACACAGATGTGTATCTATGTACGATACAGGGAGAGGCAGTGAAGGAAGCACATTAGGATATATGTTAGCAGATAGGAACAGATGTGTATGGATGGTACAGGGAAAGGCAGTGAAGGAAGCAAATATTCACACAGGCTACATTGTTTTTAAAAAGGATTTTTAAAAGTTTATATGAATTTTACAGTAAATGCTATATCAGTTGTTCTCAGTTGTTTTTTCATATTCACATGCACACACATATATGGAGTAATTTTTGTTTGTTTGTTTAAATAAACGAAACCCAGTGTTCTCCGGTGACAAATTTGCTTTGACAGAGGGACTAGACATTGTAAGCTCTGTGTGTAAAGCAAACAAGGTAGAGATAGGACAGAAATTGGATCCTCTGAGTCTAAAAACTTACTGTACTGCTTCTGAAGGTCAGGTGACTAATTAAACCAGAAGTTTAATTTAGGGTTAGGTAAAGTGTCCAGTGCTCCCAATTCTGCCAACTTACTTGTATTTATTTAAATGTTCATTTAAATATTCATATTTATACACTCTTTACCTATATAAAATATAGGTAAATTGGTCAACTTACAAAAACAACCATATTTAAGAGGAAATGGTAATACTCACATTATCAGGACCAATTAAGCAGCCCACACTTTTCAGGGGGCAAAATGTATCAAATTGTCCATAACAATGTCCGCTGCAGGGATTCCATATTAAATAATAATTTTTTTCCCAAGTTAGCACATAGGCAGTTGGACCCTGAAAAACAGAATAGCCATTAAAATACTTTCTAATTAATTATAAAATAAGGTCAATAGTAATTTACAGAATTCTTTTTTCATCACTAGAAGTCCATTGCGCTACAGAGCCATATTACAGAATTCTTTTTAAAAAATGAAGTATGTTTTATCTGTATGTGCGAGCATGTACATATGTGTGTGCATACACATACATGTGGCTGCCTGAGGAGTTAAAGGAAGGTGACAGATTCCCCCAGGCTGAATTTATAGGCTGTGAGTTTCCTAGCATGGGTGCTGAGAACTGAACTTGGGTCCTCTATGAGAACAGTAAGTATACCTAACTGTTGATCCATCTCTCCAGTCCCAGAAACAGTTCTTCTTTTAGCTGGACCTCTGCTTTCTAAATTTCATGGCTATTGGATTTAAGAATGGGAATAGATATTTTTCAGAAATCTTGGATTTGGTACTAGTAGAGTGCAGGATTCAAAGATAGTCCTTGCATTCCCAATCAGTGTATCTTAAGGTTTTCTGAAGTATTCTTGTTAGTGGGACTCTTTGCAGAGTCAGTAAAGTTGCTAGAAGGCTGACTTTTTCAGTTCCTAATAAGTAATTTACCTTTGATACAGTCTATAGTTACATGAACATGTAGATTTGGAAGGATATACATCCAGTGGTTGAGATGAAGGATACTTACTTCCTACTTGGAATAGTCATATATTATAGATTCTTTTATTCAGTTGAGTACCATTTATTGCTGATGCATGATTTCACCTGATGTTCACAAATAGCCTTGGAGTTGTGATTTGATTTGCTGAGAGTCATGGAACCTGGAGCACAGGCCCATGGCTTGCTTGCTTTGTCTTTGTCTTGTATCACACGGTAACCCATGGTCTATAATTCTCAAGGATTCCTAGATCGTCATGGCTTCTCTAAAACACCATCTTAAATAAGCTTCTACTATCCACATAGACTTTTTAAACTTGTCCCAGAAGTACTCATTGTGCCACAAACTTGTTAGTATTTTGCTGTGGGGGTAGGGAATACTCTTAAGAGTCACCAAGTCTTTAAACTAATACATGTTGACAATAACAGCAAAACAGAGCTGCCAACATTATTTCTTTCTGTGTTTAGTCTGGTATGTTCCCCATTGCCTCCCAAATTAGTTGCAGTAGAATAGGGTAAATGGAGAGAGTTCCCTTAACCCATAGCATAATATTACAAAGTGACTGAGATTGTGGAGAACATTGATGGGTGACTGTGCATATTAAAAGAACAACTAAATAAGGGGCTATAGGTGTTAAGATGTCAGGTTTGCCAAAATTATCTGAAGTGAGGTGTAGGGCCCTGAGTATGTTATTAAACCACTTTGTGTGGTATATGTTGTGGTTCTGTCTGCTTGGTGTGGTCTGAAGTGTAGGGCCCTGAGTATGCTATTAAACCACTTTGTGTGGTATATGTTGTGGTTCTGTCTGCTTGGTGTGGTGGTGTCTCTGCCACTTTGTAGCAATTCAAAGGACTCATGAAAATTAGCCCTGCCCATGAAAACTATCTGGTTAGATAACCACACTCTTGTTAACAGCAATGTGCGTGGCCATACCTCAGGAATAGCATTGCCCATCATCAGCCATGCCTTCTTACCCAGGGACAGAAAGTAATTGCATAGCAGTACTGCATGCTCTTCTTCATCTCCTGCCAGGAGATCAAGAAATTGCTGACAAAGAGAAAAGAAAGTTACATTGAGTGCCTTATTCTAGACTGAACATGCATGTAGGATTTTATTTGCTTTGTAGTTCAGGCTAGTCTAGCACTTGCTATGTAGCCCAGGCTGACCCTGACCTGGCAATCATCTAACCTCAGCCTCCTTGCCCCCAGGACTAGGATTAAAGAAAGGCATGAATAAGTACCATCACATTAGCATCTCATGCAAAATTCAATGATTTAGTTGAGATCAGTGCCTTAAAGTATTTTTGTTACTATGCTGAAGATTCTTCAGTGGACATCATGTTTTCTTTAGCATTGATGCTGATGGAATCTAGAACCAATATGATTGCAATAGATAGAAACAGTAGGTTTCCATGTTTCTGCTTTAATGTGTATTGGATAGTTCACTAGGGCGAAACATTTCCTAAGTACATTACATGAATTGACTGACTTATCCCAGAACAACTTTTTGAGGATCCTACTTTTCTTATCAGCCTTGCAGATGCTGAAGTACAGAGGCAAAGATCAGGCAGTAATACCTATGAGGTGCCAACTAGTCCAGCTCTGCTGCTCTGCTATTCGCTTCTTTGTATATTTCATGTATCTTCTTGAGAAAGAGACCCCTCATGGCTCTAACATTTTTCCTGCCCAAAATGCCAAGATTTATGTTGCCAAATGCATTTGGAAGGAAAAAAGTTAAAGAACAACTACATTTTTTTCATGGGACCTTCCATCAAATAAAGTTGTGTATGTTACATTTTATGGAAGCATCAGACATCCTGAAATCCAGAAGCACATTAAACACCTTTGGTAAGACAGGTTTGTGCTGCTTCATATCACTCATGGTCCCTGACTCTGTGCAAAGAATGTGTTTGACATGGCATACCTTAGGAAGTTTACAAATTAACAAAATACACAATTTCTTATTGTAGAATGAGATTTAGGCTTTTTCTAAACAAAGCTGTGATATCATTAATGTAATATTAGGATAGTTCTGCACCACAACATCTGAAATGTTATTTCCATCCTTTCTGTGAATAATTTTTTGAAACAATACTTTGTGGTGGTTGTGAGGAGGTTACTGAGGATCTAACCTATGTCTTTGCACCTGCTAGGCAAGTGTTTACCACTGAATTATGTCTCCAACCCTTAATTTCTTTAACATCTGAAGCTTGATAACATTGGACCAGGAAGAAAAAATATTTCAGAATTTAGCTTAAACTGCTAACAGATGGCCAAGTAGATTTTTATGATGACTAATGAATGATGCAATCTAAATTCTGCAAGTCATTTAGCTGATGTTCAGTTAAGGCAGTAAAGTGGCAAAAGACTCACATCAGATGTGCTCCATAGGTCACAGATACCAGCAAAGGAAACAGTATCCGGCAAGAAAGGGATTAAGGACACATATCGAGCTACCAGTTCCTGTGTAAGAAAATTAACTTTTAAAATAACTTCCAATAAAGTAGAAGCTGCATCCCCTCTTAATTTCCCAAAAGAAACTTCAATTATGGGTACAAGATAAAATTCATGTTCACAAAGTGCTTACTAAATGCATTAATATCTTATCCTCTCCTAAAGCCATGAAGATTATCTTACAAAGAAACTGGCTCTAGTGTGCCTTTGAAATGTCCTTATCGCCCTCTCTTCTTTTCTCGTTTGTATTTCCTTTTTTTTTTTTTTCTTTTGGCATCATCTTGTACTGTACTTTTCTTAGCCTAGTAGTCCTGAAAGCAGCCATTCATTCCCCCAAGGAGCACTAGCTCATTTTAGGAGGGAACAGAATATTGGAGTCAAGTCTGGTCATTGTAGTTAATTCACAATTTATTCATCTCTAAGGAGGTTAATTACTCTTACGTTTATTGACTTTCGAGGTTTATACTTCTGTGAATTTTCTTTTAAGAATTTGGACATTTTGGGGCCAATGAGATTTCTTAGCATGTAAATGCACTTGCTGTTTGAGCTTAAGGACCTCAGTTTGATTTATGGAACCCATGTGTGGTCGTTCGAATGAGGATGGCTGTCATAGGCCCATATCATTGACCGCTTGATCCCTGTATAGAAAGGATTAGGAGGTGTGGCCTTGTTACTGGGGGTATGTTTTGAGATTTCAGAATACTCATGCCACTCCCAGTGTGCTCTCTCTTTGCTTCCTAGTTGTGAATCAGGATGTGAGCTCTCGGATGTTCCTCTACCAGGCCTTCAATCTACCATCATGGACTCTAACCCTCTGGAACTGTAAGCCCCAAGACTCTTTCCTTTCTAAGTTGTCTTGGTCATGTTTTATCACAGGAGAAAAGTGAGACAGAAGTTGGTATTAGGGATTGGGCTATTGCTGTTACAGATAGAACCATATGAGTTTCTCTCTCTCTCTCTCTCTCTCTCTCTCTCTCTCTCTCTCTTATAGATGTGGAAGACTTTGAAACTTTTAACTAGAAAAGTGGGTTGAACACTCTTAAGCAGAGCTTAAGGGGCCATCCTGTGGAAGACTTTGAAACTTTCAACTAGAAAAGTGGGTTGAACACTCTTAAGCAGAGCTTAAGGGGCCATCCTATTAGGAGCTTGGAAGAAAGACAGTAGTGCTGAGAGCTTTGTGAACTGTGGAGTCCCAATTTAAGAGGTTTCAGAAGAGGACAATATTAGCAACTGGATTAGATACCAATTTTTGGTGATATTTTGGCAAGGAATGGCCTATTTGCTGTTTTTCCATGTCTTAACTGCTTTCTCCCTCGGTCTTGTGACTCATCAAAACCCAGGTTTAGTCATCTTGAGTTACCAGATAAACTGAGATCAAACACTGTTTCAGGTTATCTTTCTAGTGTAATTGATTTCTTTTTGATTTATTTTCTCTCAATTCTGTCTTAGCCATACCTTTAAAAATATTGAAATATTTACTAAATAGTCTCAGCTGGGGTAAGTTTATGTACATTTACAATGCTAGGGAGAACAGAAATTGCTATTATGGGCACTGAGGATGCAGTTCAGTGGTAGAGCACTTGTTAAGTGTGCCAGAGGCCTGACACCAAACTCTACCAACAACTCACAAGGTCTTATTTGGCTTCCTATAGAAACAAATTGTATTTAGTGAGTTCTATATCTACTATAGTCATATATGTGTGCATGTATATATATATATGCGTGTGTGTGCATACACACACATACATATATATGATTATATTAAAATTTAGAAACAATTACTCCCTTTACTATCCATATTCTCAGAACAGTTATAGGTTATAGTATTCACTTAAAATTGGCTTAACATACATATGCTTATAGTTCATACAATTTTAGGTGGGTGTGGAGTTTTGAAGCCAGTGAATGGTACATGTATATTTAATAGGTTATAGTATTCACTTAAAATTGGCTTAACATACATATGCTTGTAGGTGGGTGTGGAGTTTTGAAGCCAGTGAATGGTACATGTATATTTAATGTCTCAGTGTGAGTTGATGTTAGGATGGGTTAAATACTGAAAATACATATTGCTCAAATAACTGTTGTTAATTTGATTTCAATGATGCTTATATCATTAAGCAGAATACTGAGTAGTTATTTTGGTACAGCAGAAATTTCATGCCTAACATTTATTGAGAATATATAATTAAAATATGTTTATGAAAGACTTTGAAAGTTTCATGTTAATTTTTTAGCACCTATAAAGCCAAGGGCATAGTAAGAAGCCAGTTATTTATAGAAAGGATGAACAAAGGATTATCATCATCTCTGGTACTTTCAGATTTCCTTAAAGACAGTTAGCCTCATGGCAATAATTCCTAATGATCTTTGTGTACTTAGTATCTTGAAATATGTATCTTACTATCAGGAAACCTGGCAATACATTGAAATTTAAGACATTTTTTTTTTTTAAACATCACTTATTGGCTATGCCACACTCACCGCAGTTGCCTGTGGGTTGTTTGGGTAGACATTGAGGAGCTCCTGAGGAGGGTTTAAAGGCTTGAGAAAACGTGTGATAAACACTGTTTTCCCTCTCATGTCAATTACTGTTGTAAGGCACTGACGCTGTGGGAACCGTAAGGCACATTCAGCCTGAAACTTCTCTGTTGCCTGAAGTAATTTCTCATCTTCCTGGCTATCAAACTTTAAAAAGAAATACTTCATGGGGTGTATATAATTACAGGAGACATTACATAAAACAATCAGATTTCGAAGGCACTATGAAGTGAATGTGTGGTTTGGCAAGTATGTTTAAGTGGCTCTTTATAAATTCCTTTTTCTTGGTATCTCTACAGTTTAGAGAGGAATATAAATAGCAGCCAAACAGTTAAAGAATTTGAGCAGATTCTACAGGGTGCTATTGGGAGACTTAAGAAGATGTAGAAGCATGTGCAGGAGATCCTGAGTCAGCACAGCCATTGGCCTTTCAAGTTGACAAGTGTGGCAGAAAATGTCTCAACTACTAGGTAGGACTCAAATGCTCTGTTATGTATCCTGAAGGCAGGACCTGGGTTTGACCTATTGTGCACATGCTGGCACCTAATCATTATCAAGTCATTAACATGCATTTAGGACACTAGAATTTAAAGGAGACGTATGCTGTTTGTGATCTGAGAATGCCATGGAAAGGCCAAATATTACAAAAATTTGAGTCATTTATCCTGAAGCAAATTTGGATGGAACTAACAGATTCAGGTTTATTCAAAATGCAATTTAGAAAATTCTTAAGGGGTTCAGTTCTTTAACCTGTCAGTTAATGAAACATTTCCAGAAAACAGAAGGAGTTCATTCTGCCTTTGAATAGTCAGTTGAGATGACCCCAGTGACTTGAAATAACTGTTAGAAATAAATATCTACATTGCCTCTCTAAGAAAGAGTCATGGAAAGTGAAGCTGAGCCCCTAACATGCAGGAAACATGTAAAGTCAGTGAAGTTACTTGCTGACAAAATATAATGGCAAATGGGCCAAAAGGCAGTCTTTTGTATTTTTCTATATTAGTGATTGCACCCAGGGCCTCACACATGCTACACACACGACTGGACATTCTTTGTGGCACTGCAGGCATCTACAGATCATTGCCAAGGAATCATACATACAATGGGACCCAGCACCTGTTCCCTGGAGTCAGTGGACACAAGCAGCTAGTGAAAGCATAGCTGTTGGCCTATGAGTTATAAAACAAGATAATCAGTACCTTTTTAAGCATGTCACTCATCTACCATAGGCAACAAAAAAGAAATGACAGAAAAACAGTATTAACAACCTGGTTTAAAGACTTATTAGCCTAAACATTGTAGAGTTAGGGTGTTAAAGTAACTAATTCAGGTTGCTGCTGATTTACAAAACTTGTTCTAGTAAATACTTTTGAAAAAGTCATTTGGAGTAGGATGGGGGTGGAGAGACAATTCTAATCTGCCATCCTGGAAAGTTGTAGTAGTGGAAGACCATTTCCGTGCTGTAGTCCTGGTATTTCAGGCTGAGAGCCTTTCTTTCTTGAACAGCCTACAGGTTAATCACAGGTGGGGTTTTCTACTGCTGCATTTGTAGGATGTCAGGAGCCTGTCAATTAGCTTGTCTGCCATGTCAGACGTCAATGGAAGATGTGTACAGCCATAGAGGGGCAGTCAAATGTCACCAAAGGCAACAACAGGTTGCCAGGTTAACTTTGAAGTCACAATCCTGCCCTCAGTGTGAGATCATTTGTGTGTGGACATGCTTGTTTTTCTCCTGAGCTTGCACCTAGAGATAGATATTCAGAATATTACCTTTCTAAAAATAATCCGACATGAATCTATTCTGCTTTCTTGAGAACCTCAGCTTTAGCAATGAAGCTTTCGATCTGGGATTATTTGTTCAGTACATTTGAGCTTCCATTAATCTTTCCTTTCCCTGAGTAGGCTTTGCCTACGGGATATAAACCTAGTATTTTTCTCTGTGAAACAAATTGTAATACTGCAAAACCCAGAAGTAGGCTCAGTTTTCCATCCCCATTTCAGACTTACTCACAATTGGAAACCAGGGGATCCATGTATAAGTTACATAACACAGTCACCTGAAAATGAATTTTATACATGCATGTAAGCATGGTAGACTGTTGCTTTTGAGACAAGTTCTCACTTACATAGACTAGGATGGCCTCAAACTCAGGGAAATATATTTGCCTCTGCCTCTACTCTCCTGGGATAAAAAGTATACACAACTATATGGGCTACATGATGGACTGTTTTCTGCAGCTATTTAAGATGCATAATTTTTTTCATAAAGTACCTTGTTATCTCTGAAGGTTACCTGACTTTATGATTGTGTGAACTGATTGAATGCATACTACAGCTGGGGACCTGAAGTCAAAGATGGAAATCTTTCTTTAGCATGCTTGCCAGTAAATGTCAACTAGCAATCTGATTTTCTAATTGACATACTTCATTTTATTCACATGGAGAACATCGTTCTAAAAGCAGAACATGTTTATATTGGTCTTGCTTTCCTAAAACCTTGTGTTGATGATTGCCTTAACTCCTAGGTTGTGAAGGATAAATGCACATCTGTTCCATTGCCACCTTAGGTCCTAGCTGAAAGCATAATGAATAGGTATTAAAGTAGGAGAACTTCTGTTTATGCAGTTCAGTTAAAGCTTATAAATACTTAGCCTAGCAAGCATTTCTTAGGCTTTGGCATCCACTGTGGCTTTCCAGATTATATCCCATTACCTTTTCTCGAATTGGTTCTCCAGGAACCAGTTGAGGCTCAATGGTAATAAACAGGGTGATGTAAGAGCCTTCACTCAAGCTTCGGGCAGAATCAAATGTTCGTTCCATAGTAATGTTTCGCTCCTTACTATAGCCCAGAAGAACCGGAGGAATGTCTATTTTAAATGTGCCATCAATCTGCAAAGAAAATATGACTTGGTAAGCACTGTGGTGATTTTGTAACAGAAGTTAAAAGAGAATGGCTATTTCTCATAATTGAATGTATCAGGTAAACATTAAGCTTGGTCCAGGCTAGAACCCTCAAGTTCTCATCAGGAAGGGCTCTGTGCTTCCCTGACTTCTTTTTCTTGATTGCTAGAGTGTGCCTGGTCATAAATGTTTCCTGAGTTCAAATCTCATATTAAACTCCCAGTACTTCAACTGTCTCATTTGTAAGAAGAAGAAAATAACAGGACCTGATTTGTAGGGTTGTGGTGAGCAGGGAATCAGCTAAGAGATGCAAGGGACTAAGAACAGTATCTGTCATGTGGTGCATGCTCATTGGCTGGCAGCCTTCCCCTTTTCTGATTTCCTAGCTTTCCATCTCTGCCTTTCAGCATCTTGTCTGTGTTTCAAAGCTTAGGTATAATGTCATCTCAGGATTACTTTGCTATCTGTATATCCTTACATACAGCTTGTTTCATTCACTAATGTCTTATATTCTGTTTGACTTCAGGAATGTATTTGCCATAGTCTACATTATTGCTCTACAAAAAGGACTATTGTTTTACCTCCTCTTGTGTTACTTTTCTCTGCTTTATAGCCATGTTTTTTAAATGTAGTATGTTTATAACAAACAGAGCTCCAGCGGTCATGAGCTCTTGCATGAGCTGTAAGGGCATGGGTGCTGCTACCACAAAGCAAAGGAGGTCCACACATCAGGCCATTCAGTGCAATGATTTCTAAATAATCTCCAAACCCGAGATTCAACAGCCGTCAAACATTACAGGCAGCTTTACTTGTAAGGCAGTATGCTCTTTAATATTTTCATTTTAAAATTTATTAAAAGGGGAGAATATAATTCTCATGATAAACATATTACTAGACTATCCCTTTGGGTTAGGGAAGATCACAGTTCCAGTTTATGCTTGACAGCCAATCTGGGTCTTTTAGAATAGAGGTTTGTTTTGGGACTTTTGATGGAAAACCGTGGTCTAGTCAGCATCTGCTCTGAGTAGCTATCACAGTAGCACATAGTTGCCTGTTGCCATGGATTTAATGCTGAGATACTGAAGAGATCCAGAGTGTTCAACTGCCTCAGTAGGATTACAAAGTCATAAAAGAATTGCCAGCCTCGTGGATCTGTTAAGCTAGACTGTTAAGTCTACAAAAGGGTGTGTGGGTTAAGCATGCCTGTGTTAATGATTTTTCATGTTTTAAATAGCACACACTTTCAGAAATCTTGATAGGAATGCACTTGACAAAATGGACAACTGCCCGGACTGTTTTCTTCAAGTTACTTTCTGGCAGCCATCCACTCTACTTTTGTCATTTTGACAAATTTCACTTTGTTCATATTCTTCTGTTTAAATGTTATAAAATTCTTAGGTTCAAGTAATCATACATTTGCTATTAATGCAAAAGAATGGGTAATGAACATATCATGCAAGGATAATGGAAGATAAATGACTTGATATAGTGATTTTTTTTCCAAGTTCTGTGTAATACATTTTCACAGTTTTGAGAGTTTAATAGGAAGAATGGATAGAGATATTTCCTATCTGTAATTCTGACTTGTTACTTACCCTTGCTTGGAAATAGATAGTACTAAATGGGATTTTCACACATCCTAACCAGTGTCTCTCAATACGGGTATGGATTCCACTTCCTCTTTCACGGTCATCCTAAAGGAAGCATGAGAAGTAATAATTATTTAAGGACTTCAGGCATTTATGTCTGTGTCTGTGTCTGTGTATCTGTTTCTCTCTATATGTACTTGCACATGTGAACAAGTATGCATAGCAGGCTTTCTTTTGGGCCACCAACCAGCTCTCAAATCATGACACAGAGTCATTATCAATTCTGAGTACTTGGCCTTATCTTATGCTTGTACCACTAGCTCTTATAACTTAATTTAACCTGTTTCTGTTCATATATGTTTTGCCTCAGGGCTTTTTACCTTTCTTTCATTCTGTATGTCCCACTCCGTGCCTGGCTGGCCCCAGGTGTGTCCCTTTTTCTTCTCCCTCGTTCTTTCTTCTCTCCTCTAAGCCTAGATTCCTCCTCTTATTTATTCACTCTGCCCATCAGCCCCAACTATAGCTACTGCCTAGCTATTGGCTATTGGCCATTTCAGCTTTTTATTGGACCAGTCAGGTGCCTTAGACAGTCAAGCAACAAACACATCTTTACATTGTTAAACAAATATAACATCTTTGCCTAGTTAAAGTAATATTCCAGCAGGTATGTATGGGCATTCTTGACTGTTCTGTACATATGGATACCAGAAATCAATGCCAGTATATTTTCCATACTTGCTTTTCCACCTTATTTTTTGAGTCTGGGTCACTCATCGAATGGGAAGCTTCCTGTTTTAGCTAAACTAGTTAGACAGCAAGCTTCAGGGATCCTTTACCCTCAAGCAGGTACATACCATCCCACTCAGCTTTTACATGTGTGCTAGGACTCCAAACTTAAATCCTCATGCTTGCACAATGGGTGTTTTACCTACTGAACTTTTTCCCAAGGCCTCTGTGTAATTGTAATTTCCTTGCTGGTAGGAAAAGCAACAAGATTTTAGCTGAAAGCATGTGGGTTGGGTTCCGACATTTAAGTTTGCCACCCAAGAAAGCCACTTCTCTGAATTTCAGCTTTCTCATTGTCAGCTGGAGATATAATGACTTGCTTCATAGACTTACTTTGGAATTGGATAAGACAACATGTCTGTAGCAGCTGTCCTGGAACAGGAAATACTTGGCAGCAAGTAGAATCACCTTTCTTTGTCATCCTTTCCCCACTCTCCCCTGTGCTTGGGATGTGAAAGTGAGTGCAGGAAAGGAAAGTGAGTGCAGAGTTCAGGTGACTCCCTTAAGAATGAAAACTTACCTCTAGGATATCATGCAGCACTTCATCAAAAATGTTAATGTACACGTCATCCTTCACTGCCTGTAAGCTGGCTGTGCTGTAGTCCCCATTCGGGGCTCTGTGAAACAACACATGAACAGAGACCATGAAAGCAGGCAAAACACTATGAGTACTCACTGTCAGCGCTTGAAAAATACCAAGCTGGAGCACATGCAGTTCTTTCATTCAAAGGATCTCTTAACAAGGGCACAGAATACACGTTTTCCTTTTTATTTACTTTTTATGTGCTTTAGTGTTTTGCCAGCATGTACATCTGTTTCAGATCCCTTGGAACTGGACTTACACAGACAGTTGTGAGTTGTCATGTGGGTACTTCAAATTGAACCAGGGACCTCTGGAAGAGCAGCCAATACTTTTAACCTCTGAACCATCTCTTTAGTTCATATAATACTTCATGCTCTGCAGATCCAAATGCTCCACTGGCTCTTACTGGTAAATACTGTATTCCCCAAACTCCATGGCATGTCTTGCAAGGAACTGCTATGCCAGGGCCTGGGGTAGCTTTGTGGATGGCTATAAGGTCTCCAGCCAACACTGGAGTTACTGCCTAAGTACCTGCTAGAATGTGGCTGGAAGAGAGTGCTACTTCTCACTTTCTCACCCGGAAGGCAAACAATACAAAGGTGAGAACCCGTTCCTGGACTAGGTCCATGACCATTAAACTGTATAAACTGTGTCCCTCAACAGCAGGGTTAGAGACCAGGGTACCACACTGATTGAAAATCTTCATCTGCTTTTCAGTTCACAATCTTTTGCTTGTTTTATGTATAATGGTGGTGATTGTTCCCTCTTTTGACTTAATTATTTCTAATTTCTACCCTAATTTGTCTTTCATCCCAAGGATCTCTTGCACAAGGACAGAGAATACATGGAATACCTACCACCTAAGCCATCTTCCCTCTAAGGGTTTCAATTTCTTCTTCATGAAAGTAGAGGGTTAATTTGGTCATTTCAGGTACCAAACCAATAAAAGCCTTTGGCCTATATGAAGTCAGAAATTGGAGGAAAGTAGACTTCCAATAGTGACCATGATTTTGCTCTTTTTGTTTTGTTTTTCTTGAGACAGAGCCTTACTGTGTAGTTCTCTGGCTGGCCTAGAACTTGCTATGTAGACCAGGCTGGCCTTAAACATACAGAGATTGACCTGCCTTTACCTCTTGAGTGCTGGGGTTAAAAGCATGTGCTACCACCACTCAGAAACCTCACTCACAGAGCAGAGCCAGCTGTGGGTGCTGAGAAGCATGTTCTAGCTTCATTCCCCCAGACATGATGCTTTCTTTCACTTCAACCACTCCAGCTCCTTACAGACGAGTGTTTAATTTACCTGAATGGAAGTTCAAGTTCTTCGTTCCAGCTGGGATTTGGTCCTTCAGCTGTAGTTGTGTGGCAGATTGTTCTTTGAAAAGAGACTTCTACAAAAGGACGGACTAAGACCTGAAAGCCAAGAGCAAACCCCAAGTGTGTAATGATTAGTTATTTGTTCTTGATGGAAGAAGCTATGCCTACCAAAATACGTGACTATTTTGTCTTAGACAAAGGAGAAAATGCTTATTAAATAGTATTTTTCAGAAGAAAATGAAACAGGAAGTCTGTTTAGGAGTTTATAGATGATTGATTCCTTTTTCCTTTCTTCCTTCTTTCCTTCCTTCCTCCTTTTCTCCCTCCTCCCTCCCTGCCTTTTTTCTTTTTGGTGAAAAGCATTTTGAAAAGGGAGATTTCTTCAGTGTCACACGGGGAAGAGGGACAGAGATCCAGTGACCAGCTCCCAGTCCATCTTCAGGATCTTGAGGTGAGAGTAGGTTTAAATGAACAAGATATATGCACAACTGCATTGGCCAAGGCCTGGTCTGCTGCCCACTGCTGGCTGAGCTCTGAGCCCCAGAGCGCTCCTGGAAGGATATCTGCAAGTTGTAAATCTCCAGGGACAAATTTCTACTCTGATGTCTCCAGTGCTCCAGTTATTTCTTGGGGAAGGCTGGTGTCTCATCAGACCAAGCTGGTCTTAACCTCACTATGGAGCTGAGGATGACCTTGAACTTTGTGTGTGTGTATCTCCCATCTTTAATCCCACCACCACCCGGCAAAACCTGTATTTGCAGAAAGTCACCCTCTCATCTGCATTCGTGGAATTTGGGGGCCTGGGGCTGAGCCCCTTCCCCCTTCTTTCATTTCCATTGTGACTCTTTTAAAACTAGCCAATCCTGAAAGACTATGAGTGGGGAAAAAACATAGTCATCACCTGTGTTAGAATGAAAACCAGATGAACTTTCCACCTCAGTGTGCTCCCTAGCTACTTTGGTTCTGGTGCACTCATTTTACAAAAGAAATCACCTTGCTGAACTATTTTTGATTTGTATGCTTGTGCTACACCAAGATTATTTTTTATTCATAACATTTTGAAACAGGGTCTTACTGTGTAACTCTGGCTGGTCTTGAACTTTTTATGAAGAGCAGGGTGGCCTTGAAACAAAATTCAACTGTCTCTGCCTCCTGATGATAGGATTTAAAGCATATGCCTGCATCTTTATTTTTATTTTATGTGCATGAGTGTTTGTCTGTACCACATGTATGCCTGGTGTCCCCAGATGCCAGCCAGAAGAGGGTATCACATCCCCTGGAACTGGAGTTACAGACAGTTGTCAGTTGTCAGGAGGGGAGTAGAACCTAGGACCTCTGTAGGAGCAGCCAAGTATGCTTTACTACTGAGCTGTTTCTCAAGCCCCTGACCTTGAACTTCTGATCCTTGTGTTTCCACCTGCCAAGCACAAAGACTATATAGACAGTACTACCACACTATACAATGCCAAGAATCTAACCCAGGACCTTATGAACACTATACAAGCACTACACTAACTAAACAATAGCCAAGGCCCTTAAGGGCAACTTTTAAAGACATACAGAGCAGGATTCAAAGCAGAAAACCAGCCTTGTTCTCTCACCTGGTCAAGGGGGTAGTCAGTACTGTGCACTGGACTGTGTGTGTTGGGGGAAGCAGTTTGCTTTTCACTGAAAGTCCTTGAAGATCTTGATGTCTGCTGGAACTTGCTAGGAGGGAAAAGGTATGAAAGGAGTAAATGACAAGGAAGGTCTGTCTACTGAGATGGTTTCTTTGAAGATGTGTGGTGCTGGTAGATCTCAGAGTGGCCATTGTCTCTATGCTTGTTGATATCTAGAAGGCTTTGAGTATGTACTGATCCATCCTGGGGAACCTTATAATTACCAAGGCATTCCCCAACTTCCCTTCCCAGGCCTGCGTGCATCTCTGAGAACAGAGGTAAGGATAGTTTCCCTCCTCCTCTACTATCAAAGGTACCTGAGTCATGTGAACCCCAGTCCCTCTCTGCAGCAGAGTCCTGGCTCCATCTCATTATGGTTCCCTTTCACTATATTAATAGATGTTTTGTAGCAGGATGAAGTAATGTCAGTGGGTAAGAGCTCTTGCTACACAAGCATTGGAATTAGAATCTGGATCTTAGCACCCATATAAAAAGCTGGGCATGACTGTGCATACACTTGTAACTCCAGCACTAGGGGGAGACAGAAGGGCCTCTGGGGGCTAGCTAGTCACCAGCCTCACTCTGTATTTAGTGGATGACCCTATCTCAGAGGACTAAGGTAGAGAGTAATAGAGCAGGACATCTAACATCCTCCTCTGGCCTCTGCACATAAGCATAAAGGGGCATGCACCCGTATACACATGTGTTCATATGCCTTGCATTTATATCTACACACAAAATAGAAGAGGACACATAGGGCAAAATAATGGGGTGAGAGGACAGAGGGATGGAGAAAGGAAGAACCTAGAGAATTAGAAAGAAGATGCCACAAACTATCTTGGCACTCTGGAATCTGAGTGCTGAATGACCTGGGCCAGACCACGTACACCATCTTTGCTTGTTTTCTACCTAGTAAAATAGAGATAGTAATAGTGGTAACAGTTGAATGAAATGACGTATGTGAATGTGCCTACTATGGTTCTGTACATGGAGAAGGGACAAATTCTACTTCCTTCCATTGCAGCAACCAGGGCACTCACAAAAAGAATTTTAATTCCTTATCTTTCTATCACTGTAAGAAATTTAGGCCAGATCCCACTATAGAAATGTGCTCTCCATTTCCCCAGTATGTTGAACCACCATAGTCACAACTCATTTTTCTCAACAGGTAAGAGAGGCAAACCATAGACAGACACATTCTATGTTACTTTCCAGCTCATGTCCAATATTTGGATCCTGCCTCTTTGCTGCAGGTTACCAGACCATGGGTTATCAGCTTCTGACCCCAGTGAGCATCCAGCTTCTCTCTTGAGAAGCTGATGTGTGGTTGGAAGAACTACTTCTATCACATGAGAAAAATGGAGCAACCTCAGGGAAGCAAGTAGAAAAGACAATGACGACTCAGGACGGTTTATTATGTAGCTCAGCTGTGCCAATTGTCTTTGGGTTCTACAGGAGGTTCCTAACACCCCCATCTTTGAGCCTAAGTTGACTCTCTTACTTATAAACAATAGGGGTGGAGCTTCAGCAAGAATGTTCAAGTCTTACTGCATTAAAACTTACAGGAGGACCAGGTTGTCTTGTGTTTCACTATGAGGCTGTTCCTAGGGCGCTCACCTAGCTATGGGCTTTCTCACAGGAATGTCATAAGCCCGGATAATGTTCACCAGCAGCTTTATGTCTCCATCACACAGGTTTTGGGCTGTCACCTTCTTCCGACCTTTTCTCCGTGGCCTCAGTGGTCGCTTTTGTTCTGCCAGCTTGAAAAGGCTTAGTCCCAAAATGCTAATGATTATAGAACAGGATTAGGTCTCAGTGGAAAGGAAACATCTATAAAGTTATTACGTGGCCTCCTAAACTCTGCTTCAAGGTCTCTCAGAGACCGCTGGGCACTCTCCTTTGAGGGTGGAAAGATTCTAAAAATTCTACAAAGCCAAGAGGGTCAGGAGAAGATTCCCACTGCATGCTTTATTAAATTGTTTACAGCTGCCACTCAATTGTGGAAGCAAACTCAGGACTTCCCCCGCCCCCAACTCCCCATCTGCATCTACCTCTTTACTCTCTACCTTGTTCACCAGCCCCTCAAGCATGCTTTGTGCTCTCCACCCTTCACCTGCCAAGCAGTTGCAGCTTCACCCTCCACCACGCTAGTCTTGCCCAGAGAGCTAGCTGCACCTGCTGGAAGGAGCTCTGCCTCTGAGCCCTGGGAGCATTATTAGTCAGCTCCATTTACCTGACAGCATACATGGCCTCTTGGGAAGTTTCTGGATAGTGCTTCTTACTCTCTGAAGCTATATAGACTTGAGTGTGAATTCTGGCTCTGCTCTTTGCCTTGTGGCAAATTATTCACCTCTGTGAGTCTGTTTCCTCTTGTGTAAAGTGAAGGTACTAGCATCTTGGAGTGGTTAAGAGGGCTAGTGAGGAAGAGTGTGCAGCACCCTGGCACTTCTGCATTTACTAGGTGCCCTAAAATGAGTAAGTGTTGGAATGGCAGTGACCAGGATAGAGAGATTATGCTGGAACTGGAGGAACTAGAAAGGTTTTGGGAGGAAACAATGCCTCTCTGCCTTTCACTGAGGCTATGCTATACACACTGCCTGCAGACAGAAGCAGCAAGGTCAGTGAATCATGGAACTAAATGGGAAAACAGACCTAACCATGTGCCTAGAAGCTGATTCATGGCAATGCCCTTAGCCACAGGACACAGCCACCTACTGGCTGCAATGTCTGGATTCTTTGCCTTTCTGCAAAGTACTGACCTGGCCCAGTAGATTCTTGACTGAACCTTCTTTGCAAGTGACATGAACTGGCTGAGAATGAAGACCCTGAGCACTACTGGTGGCTCTCATAAGGAATCCCAAGGGGATCCCAGGAACGGCTCAGATTGCTTTCTGGTGTCTTAGGACAGGTACCATTTATAAAAGTGTTCCGTATTAGCCAGAGGAGTGCTAGAAACCTTACATTAGAAAGTTCTAGTCTTTACAACTACAACATTTACCATACTTTTCAGATACAGAAGCCAAAGACTCTTGATAGGTGCCTTGATTGATGAAGGCTGCTTAGTGTATGAAGAGAATTAGGGTTTAAACCCAGGCCATGATCTCTTCACTCTGCTGGACACCTACCTAGCCCAAAGCTAGGGGCCTGAGAGCTTTGCCAGGCATCCTGACATGGCACATCTTGCCAAAGCTTTCTTCCCTCAACATGACTACTCTTGTGAGACTTTGATGCCTCCTTAGCAACCAGCCTAAGAGCATATTGTCAGTTGAGATAATGGAAGCATTTTAATTTAAAGCCAAGAACAAACTAAAATTAAAAAAAAAGAATGAACATACCCCGAGCCTTCAGAACTTAATGCAGAAAGTAAAGCAGAAAAAAAAGAAAGAAAAGAAAGAAAAAAACAGCATGAACATCATCATCTGTTCTAACTACAACTTTTATGCTGAAAATAATCAACAAATGGCTAGACTAAAGAGAGAGGTTCGGCAAGTATTCATATGGTCACTTTTCCCTTTTGTTCATAGATGGAGTTGCAAGGGGCCACCATGGATAGTACCATGTCTTCTTTCTTGGCTTGACAGGGGAGAGGAAATGCATGCATAGGATATAAGTTTTGCAGATTTCTTTTATTTTTAATTGTGTGTAATGTGTGCATCTGAGTGAGGGTATGCACTTGTTCCCAGGGAGGCCAGAAAAGATATCCTGCAATTGGCCTTTTAGAAGGTTAGGAAGAGCCCAATGTGGATTCAGTTAGGGGACCTAAGTTAGGTCCCCTGAAAGAGCACTAAGTGCTCTAAACCTCTGAGCCATCTCTTCAGCCCCCAGAAATAACCTTTACACAAGATCAGACAGTTAACCACTGAGAAGGTCATGAAATGAATGCCCCTCCTAAGGCTACCCTTACAGGAAATTATCTTTTCACCTCCATCTACACACTCCTGCCTGAGACTATCTGAAGATTAGTCCAACAGAGAATCAAGCAAGTAAACCAGTGCCCAACTTCCCTCACCAAGCACACACCTTAGCTCTGTGGTAGAGCCAGGCTGTCCACTGTGATCATGGAACCTCAGAGGGTGTGGTATCAGCAACGTCCAGTGTGGGATATGGACAGGGAAGCCTGACATTAGGAGACTAGAAAGCAGGGAGGATGTGCAGGAAGGGATGCTGTCAGAGTTAGCTTACTTGCAATGGGAAATGACAAGGGCTACTTAATGGACTTGGCAGTAGAGAAAGATGAGATGGGCTCTACTGAAAAATGATGTAGTGGCCCTAGGATGCTTTGCCCTGACATAAATCCCTCAATTAACATTATCATGAAGCATTAACTGTGTTGGCCCAAATTTCCAACACATATTGTGTAATGACAAAATCTTACATATGTCATCCATGTAATGGAATAAGATAAAACTAGGCAGTTATAGTAGTAGCTTTGTTTGGTTATTTTTACCTGATGTTGGGGACTTCTTCTTCTACTACCAAATCAGTAAGAAGGAAATGGTGTTTTGCAATGAGGAAGCGATTTACCACTGATTCTCTAACCTGGGAAAAGAAATCAGTGTTACTTAAGGTGGTAATTCTATTTAAAACATCATTGACTATTTTTTCCAGTGATTTGATGTCACATAGTCCTCCCTCTAACATCCCGTCACCACCAGTTTTCTATTGTTGTATACTCTCCAGTTCCCCTCACTATACTGTGAACTCTGTAAAGACAGATTGTGAGAAATTGGCTTTTGTTTGTTTTCATTTTGTTCACTGTTATATTTTTAGGAGATTGAAAAGTTTCTGAAACATAAGATAGCAATATTTTGTTGAATGAATACAGCAACAATAAAATAAAAAATAGGACCAATCTTGAAGGATGTACAATTGAGAACGGATTCTGTGGTTCTCCCCTACTCTGAGTGGTTCACCTGGAGTTCCAGTGGTACAATTGGTTGGAACATGTTACCTACACAAAATAATTTGAATAAGGACCTCTTAATTGCGATCAGTTAGTCTTTTATTTTGTATATAAGTCATAGAAAAGATTATCGAGATAGGAAGAATGCATTGTAGTTATAGCATTTCTTAAAAATTTTAAAAGATGGTTAAAAGGAAAAAAGGGAAAGGATAAACAAAGGGTGTTTTAACTAGTTTTTAGTTCTCTAGTGTGTAAGGGCAGTTCAGATGTGAATAAAAAACTCTTACTTTTCTTCCAATGCTATTGTAAAGCCACACAACATAGATGCAATCAGGAAAAACAGGACTCAGAAATGGAATCTCTTGTAACCATGCCCCACTTATGACAGCAGTATAAACCACGGCATAGCTTAGTGCTTTCATGTATTTAAGAGGTTAACATAGTTGTCAAATGTATTTATATATGTGTGGAAACAAGCTTGGGGAGACTGCATCGCTCGCATAAGATGCCACAGGCATTTAAGGCAGAAACATCCCTATCCTAAAATCCTGGCTCTCTCTCCCTGTGAAGATGGCTTTAAGTGATTTTTTTTCCTTACTTGCTGAAGGTACTTGGCTACTGTGGCCCTGTGAGCATCCAGGTGGTCCTTGGTTTCAATTACATTTCTGTCTCGTAATCGTTTCTCGTAGTCCTGAAAGTAAAAGGACATCATAGTGTCATGATTTTTAAAGTATTCTCTGATGTTTTTCTTGGCATTGGGGAATTATTTATCACAAGTGGCTTAAGTCATAAATCATGGTTCTAAATGTTCCTTCTCCCTCCCTCCTGACCTTTGGTGCAGATGCAGTATACAGGATTCTGAGTCAGTTGGTTGGAATGCCTGTATACTATTAAGTTGAAGTATTCGCATTGGAAGGAATAGACACAATGGGAGAAGAAGCTGGTATAATTTAGGGTGCTAATAAGCTCACCACATAACTCGATCAAGCCCTACTCACATTGTGACTTGTCAGTGTTAAGTGAAGCAACTGTAAAAATAGTGAAAATCTTTTGGGAAAACCATACTGTTATCACATGAATCTAGCTACAGATAACTTGGGTCAGCTACTTGGAGGATAGTAACAGATTCTTTGGGTTTCTGTCTGCCCAGGTCTCTCCTTTTAACTACTGATAAAACAGTGTGGTACCCCTGAGGATTACCACATTCTACTTTGTATACAATTCTCCATCATAGTTGAATGCCCAGCAGTGTCTTTTAACCTAGATTCAGTGATTCAGAGGTAGTCTTAAACATTTTTGGACCTGGGAGAGGAGGGCACCTCTGTCTCCATTGGCTAAAGCCTACAGATACAAACTTGGATGATTCTGGTGATCGTGTGGTCAACTGGAGAAGCCTATCTGCAAATGAGAAGGAAGCCATTATACCAGAAGCCCAGATGGGATGGTTAAGTGCCCTAGCATCTGGGAGGACTTGAGGCATAGATGCATTCCACTCTCCACATAATTTTATTTTGAATCTTAAAAATTAATTTTTTAGATTATATAATTTTATATGTGTATTTTGTTTGCATGTATGTACGTATGTGTAAAATGTGTGTGCTTAGTGTCCATGTAGTTCAGAAGAAGGTATCAGATCCCCTGAAACTGGAGTTACGGATGTTGAGTGCTGGGAATTGAACTCAGGTCTTCTGCAAGAACGTAAGACCACTGACCTCTCTCTCCATCCTTATTCTCATACATTTAGGGGTTTTCATTATCTAGATTACTGTAGTTGATGGGTGAGGAAGTTTAATAGTGGGTTCAGATTAATACCAGGAAGAACCAAATAACTAAAAATACTTCTCAAGAATAGTATCTACATGAAAAAAATCACAATTTCTAGAACCTCTCCACTGACCTCCTCCCACAGAGATTTGTCTGTCTTTTGCTGGCCTGCTCCATTAACACATTCCATTCTTCATAATCCCTCCAGGGTCACTGGGTCCCACTTCTCTATGTGACCTGTCCTCTGCCGAGCCTTTGATTCTCTTCTGCCCTAGATACTATTCCTGGTCTCAATCTCCCATCTTGTCCTGGCTGTTCAAATCTTCCCCTTCTTGTTCTCCCTGGGCTTTGAGGGTCACTGGGTCCCACTTCTCTATGTGACCTGTCCTCTGCCGAACCTTTGATCCTCTTCTGCCCTAGATACTATTCCTGGTCTCAATCTCCCGTCTTGTCCTGGCTGTTCAAATCTTCCCCTTCTTGTTCTCCCTGGGCTTTGCCATTGTGTCCTAGAGTTTGTCCTAGAGCATGCTTACCATAGACTTACCCTACCCATGTGGAGCTGAATGTTTGACTAAGGCACGCATAATCAGTAATATCAGCTCAGAAAATATTTTCAACCTTACAATTCTAATTGTGCTTATGTAGAGAAACCAGCATTGCTGGGAACAGTGACAAGGTGCATATCGAGCAGCATGCTCAATACCATAGCAGGCAGTTCATTAACCTCTTTGGACAATTTCTTACCTGGAATACCTTTTCCATAATCTCTCGGTCATACACTGGGATTTGTTTATAATTCCGGAATTCTGGCACCTCTTCACTTCTAAGACGGAGAAGCCGGAACCGTTTGGATCTATTTAATTCCTCCTCCGAGACAAAGTTGAATTCCTGCTGTAGCTGTTCCAGTCGGAAGAAGTCGGGGACATAGGATTCTCCACTGGTAGCAACCTACAAGAGCAAGAAAATACACAGTTCCAGTTAGCAGGCAGATGCTTTCCAAAGAAACTGGAATTGAGCTCCAGGAATGCCGAACAGTTTGTGACCAATGGAATGGAAAGTTACATTAATACAATGGCAGCAAGCACATGCTACTGAATATACTTAGTGGATTTTATTTTATTTTTAATGGCCATAAATCATTTTTTCAAAAAAAAAAAAACAAAAAAAAAACGAAGTTACTTTCACTTTTGGTATCTGTGCTTTCCTGTTATGAATACATGCAGAATGAAAAGGGAGAGCTTCATGTCAGGGTGTAGTGCCTTGACCAGGTGACTACTGGGAATAAGATTACTCAAGGTGTACACAATGTATGTGACCTTTAAATTCCTGTGTGCAGATGTCTAGATCAAGACTTCTTGTTAGCTGGCTTTATTCAGCCCCCAGGGTGATCATGGTCTCCTGTATGAACAGCATCTCATGGCCTTGGTTATTGGGAGTGAACCAGAGATGGGCATGGGCTAGCCAAGTTCTAGGGCCCAGGAAGGACAGCTCCTGGACACCACAGAGAAGCTGGCAGAGTGGCTACATTCCCTCCAGTCACTGCCAGCCTCTGGGCACTGCTAGCCCCCAGGTACTGCTAGCCTCCAGGCTTGGTGCTTTGCCAGCCATGACCTCCTGATAGGAAGAACTGGGAAATGAGCAGGGACTTTCTGGAGCCAAAGGAAGGCAAAGGGGACCCTGCTCTTATCCTAGGGAAACTCTTGGCCCACAAAGAGAGGACAATTAAAAGGAAACCCCTGTGCTTTGTTTTTCCATGGAAAAACTAGTGGGTAAAAAGTAAATAAAAGGATGTGAATAGATAAGTACATCTATTGATGATTTCAAGATAGTAATTAAGACATGACATGAAAATATTCTATAATGTACATTGCACTTGAGGTGGCATGGGCTCTTCCTTCTGATATGACTGTTCTCTATACTAAGCAGCATCATGTCAGAGGAATATTGGTAAAGAGCAAAGGCTGAATAAAATGGTTTGTCTTGAAACTTGGATGAAAATGAAAGTTTCACAACACTGATTATTATCCATCTGATTGGCCATGATGATGAACATGTGTTGTACGATCACCTGTGAGACACCCACTTGTTCATAGTAATTTTGAGACAGTTCATCCCAATGTATTTGATTCCAAGAAAGATAAATTGTGTATGTTCAGGGTCACATGGCTGTAGACAAATTTCATAAACTACCCCATCAGTACTGAAAGCATAAGAAGAGGACCTGGGATCTGGTTATTATCAGCATGGTTGTGAACAAGCAGCTCTGAGTCTAAAGTTAGTTTTCTCTCTGTGTAGTGGAGAAATAGAACCTTTCTTTGGGGGCTTATCAGAGGTTGCAGAAACAGTAGTTATACTGTATGTGGATTGTGTGTCCATCTAAGAGCTTTTGCACATCAGCTCGTATCTTCCTCATCCACTGTGAGGACAGCACAGGGCATTGATGCTCAACTGTGTCTCACAGCCAGGGAGGTGGCAGAGCTGAGATTTTCACCTGTGAATGACAGCTCTTGCATTCTTAAACAGCTGTACAGAGAACTGCAAAAGAAAATGCATGAAAAGGGCATCATCGTATTTTATCATCTCAGAATTTAGAAACAGTTTATGCATCTTTGGCCATGTTACCGAGATCAGCTGCATTAAAGGGGCATTGTTAGGGTCATTGGGGTCAAGCTTGGACTCTGCTGCCCACTTGGCTAGCTTCTTTATGTCCGTCAGCCCTGATGTGCCAATGGATGAGATGGCATCTGCCCTCTTCAAAACACTGGAAAAAAAATACAAGAGAAGCAATCAGAAGCTTGACTTCAGCAGAGTCAACACTGCTTACAGACACCATTACCTTCTACAAGAGGAAGCTCACTACGGAAACTCTGGTTGCTTTCTTTGCTTGATTATTAAATATGCTGTAAGGCAATAAAGAAGTAGGAATAGGAGTGCCCATGTGACCTAATGCCACAACTCTGCCCAATGCAGTGAGGTGTTCCTCATGTCACATCCTGGCTGCTGTGGTCTAGGGAACTCTGAATGCCTCAGCTCCCAGGCCACTCGGACAGCAGCTTTGGACACAGAACTTAAAGGAGATTCATGCTCAGCATGGCTGAGGTGGGATTTATCACACTTTACTTGCCCATTTCCTGCTTTACTTCTGGAGAGGCCAAAGCTTTAGCTTAGGGGATATCCTCAGCACTAAATTCCAGTGTCAAGATCAGAAAATGCCTAGCTGCAGGCCACAGCCAGGTCCTATCAGAAGTGATTCTGGGCACATGGCTTCATTTACTTGTGGCAGGTTGGTATGGGGATATGTAGGACATGAAGGGGACAAAGCAAAATCTCGTTTTGATTTTCCATATGTTGAAGTCATTTGGAAAGATGTCTGGTTGATGGAGATGTATCATTTTACTCATATTTGTATGTGTGTGCATGCATGCATGTGTGCACACATGGTATGGGCATGTATACCATGTGTGTGGAGAACAGAGAACAAGCTTCAAGAGTCCTTTCTCCTCTTCTGCCATGTGGATTCCAAGGATTAAACTGGTTGTCAGGCTTGGCCGCAAACACCTTTCTGGTTCTATATAGCCTTTTACTTCAGAGATGGGACAACCATGACCAAATGATAAGGTGGCTGACTAGTGATGTATCTATAGGGGATGACAGAGAGCGCCCCTGATAGAGGTTTTCCAGGCTGCAGACTGCCTGGACCAACAGCACATCACAGGGTCCACCTGGGCTAGACTGGGAGGCCAGGGATCCCCCTTCTGCTCTGATGGAGGACCTGAGATCTAGCACTTGGGAAAGAGACTGGAGAGCAGGAAGTTTCCCAAATCCAGCAAGCTCTGCCAATCACTATCAAATAACCTTTAGTAAGAGAGAAATATATAACCATATGCTGTGCACCTCCGTGTTCCTGAGGTGAAAAAAAGAACACAGAGATTTTCTGAGATGATTAAATGAATTTTGGGGAGGGGGTGTATCTGCCACCAATGCCCATCCCATATATGTCAGGTGAATAGTATTCTAAATTTCTCTCAAGAAAAAAATGTAAAAGTACCGTGAAATGCAGGCTGCTAGAAATAAAGGAAAGAACATCCCAAGCTATCCCCCCCCACCTCCACACCATGTTACAATTATAACAATGACACTGGTCACCAGTTCATTCTAGACATGTTACCTTCGAAATCCAATGTTCTGCTGTGACAGTGGAGGAATTAAAGGAATCCCGTTTTCTCCAACAGCCCATGCCACACTGTGGGACACCTTCCCTGAGGTCATCAGAGTCAGTTGATTGCTGCCATCAGCTTCAAAGGAGAAGGGCACTCCTAAGGGACATCAAGGTCAACAGGATGATGTTTAGAAGGGAGACAACAGTGCAGGCCTGTCAAGAGTGCTGATGATAGAGAGATGGAACTTGGAGTTGGGGTGGAGGGATGGAGAACATGATCCAAGCCCAAACCACTGCAGGTAAAGCTACACAGAATCAGGCTCTCTCAAACAGCTGAGAGTAGAGTTTCCATGGTGTGCTATCCTTAAGACCATCAGTGTGCAGTATCTGGGTTCTGCCATTTCACAGCTGTGAGAAGTCTGAAAAACTAAACTACTCGGAACTGCAGCTCTTTTACATATAAGGGAAATGATAGTATTCTTCTAGAAAGTATTTCAAACGCAGGTGTTTGTTCATTTATTTAAGACATTTACACATTCCTATTTGGCTTTAGGCTGAACTTAGCAGTAAAGATGTGGTGATAATATTGTTTATGATTTATTAAAGCCACTGGAGATCAAAATAGCAAAGCAGCTATAATAGTTAGCCATAGAAGGCAGGCAGTGGTGGCACACACCTTTAATCCCAGGACTCAGGAGACAAAGGCAGATGGCTCTCTCCGAGCTCAAGGCCACCCAGGGCTACAGGAGATTGAATCAGTCTAAAAGAGTAACAGAGCTCATGCCTTTAATCCTAGCACTAGAGGGATATAAAAGATAGGATCAGGGTCTTCAGTGGTCAGAATCAGGCACCAATTCTCAAGCCACATTGAGGAGAGGCAGCAGTCTGAGGATTAGTGGAGAGCTCATGGAGATAGTATCAGCCCTTTTAGCCCGAGGTTAAGGTTAGACCTAGTGGCTTGGCTACTTTGCTTTCCTGATCTTCAGCTTGAAGCTTGAGCCTCAATATTAAGTCTCTGGGTTTTTATTATTCATATTACATAAAGAAATGAATTTAAACGAATCAAAAGAAAAGAGCTGCTGTGAGCTCTTAAAAAAAAAAAAACAAGAAAAAAAAAAAAAAACCGAGCCCTGCTCTTATGATGTTTATGTTCGAGTATGTATAATGGAGCTGGTAAATGAGATATATGCTTGGCACACTGGTGAGCAGTAAGCATCAAGGAAGAAGATATAAAACATGTGCAGGGTTGTGGACTCTTCAAGTTGTGGTCAAGGAAGCCTGATCAGAAACACTTTCTGGGGGTTGGAGAGATGGCTCAGCGGTTAAGAGCATTGGCTGATCTTCCAGAATTCCTGATTTCAATTCCCAGCAACCACATGGTAGCTCACAACCATCCATAATAGGATCTGATGCCCTCTTCTGGCCTGCAAGTATATATGCAAGAGTTCTCATACATAAAAACAAATTAAAAATCAAAAGAAACACTTTCTGGCCAGGCATACAGGGCAGGTGAGATCACTGAGTTCCAGGCCAAACTAATCTACACAGCAAGTTCCAGGATAGCCAGGACTATGTAGAGACCCTGTCTCAAACAAACAAATAAACAAACCAAAGAAACACTTTATGTTTAATGCCACTGAAAGGAAGTGAGGCCTTAGAGACTTCTGGAGGCTTGGCAAGCAACAGGCAAGCTAAGAGTTAAACTGTTGTGGCTATCACAAGGGTTCTCTGTGTTGATTCCCACAAGTTGGAAATTAATGATAAAATCAGTCTATACAGTTATGTTTAATTAACTAAAGGAAATAAAAGTTTTTAGGCGCTATGGTATCTTCACTGTCTGGAATTTCAGTTGCACTGTGTAAGCCAGTAGCACTGTCCCCCTGCAGTGCCACCCTTATCATTACACATTAAAGGAGGTATCACTGGGTACATTTTATGAATGAGGAAGATGGTATTCAGACAGGATACATGGCTCCCGAAGTCATGTAGCTTGTCACCATTCTACCTGTAGTTAAGCTGGAATCTCCAGACTTTTAGAATTGGAGCCTCAAAGAATCCTCAAGTTGAAGTTTCAGATATGAAGTAAAGATTAAAAAGTTACCAGACCAATGAGGAAGTGAGAAGCAGTGGAATTAGGTCAATAAGTATAGAGATATGTATTATAATGATTAGAGAGAATATTTGGGAGAAAATTAGATGGAGGAACAGGGTCTTCATGTGTAGCCCTGGCTGTCCTGAAATTTGCTATGTAGACCAGGCTGATCTAGAACTCACAGACATCTGTCTGCCTCTGCCTCCTGGGATTAAAGGACTGTGCTAAAATGCTAAACATATTTAGAATTTTTAATATGTTTACATAAATGGATTTGAGTAAATGAAAAAGAAATGATTTCGAGCCTAATGAAAGTAAAAAGCATTCAAAACTGACTAGGATGAAGCAATTTCTAGAGTTGAAAAATACAGTAAGTGGAAGATGAAAACAGTGCTGAATTTCAATGACTAGATATGGCCAAAGAGTGAACTGATGACTTTGGAGGACTCTAGCAGTGAAAGAAAAAGATAATCACATAGGTTAAAAAGAAGTTAAGAAGGGGCTGGAGAGATGGCTCAGTGGTTTAAGAGCATTTGCTAGTCTTCCAGAGGACCCAGGTTCAATTCCTAGCACCTGCATAGTAGCTCATAACTGTCTGTAACTCCAGTTCCAGAGGATCTGACACCATCATAAAAATGTACATAAAATTAAATAAATTTTAAAAAAAGAATGTAGGCGCTCTTTTAAAAAAAAAAGAAGTTAGGAAACATGCTGGGGAGGTTCCATCATATGTCTTATTAGAATTTAGAATTGAGAATGTTAATAAATAATCTCCATATAATGATTAAAGTTAATATCTTTTACCCTTATACATCTCTATAACTGTGGTATATATGCACAATGTTTCATTTTAATTTCAAATTATTTCTTTAAAAAGATTATTAAAACTAGGATAAAGATCATATTGAAGCTCTTTAATCCATACTACACAATACTTTATAGTGGTGTAGTCATACATCTTTTCATAAAGAAATGACTTGGTAAACAATCCTGTATCTTATGAATACATGTTAAAGACTGAAAAAAATTGCCATGAGGGTCCTAGAGATTTGACTCAGGCCCTCAGGGTTTACCTATTAAGCTACCTTGTTAGCCACCCCTCCTCCTTTTTGAGACGGTGTTTTATTCTGTGCTTGAAACTTTGGCAATCCTCCTGCTTTAGTTCCCAAGTGCTAGGGTCACAGGTGTGAGCCATTGTCCCTGGCTTCTTTTGAATTTTTGAGGCCAATTTTATAATTATTTGGTGATAATTTATAATTCTCTATGAAGTGACAAAAGATATATTCAAATTTGACAGGGAAAACCATGAGCTACTGAGAACAATTAGCTTTGCTTACCACTTCCAACTCCTTCATGGTCTAGAGTCACATGCTGGTTACTGCTGAACTCCACCTCTTCAATGGGGGCCCTTCCCGTGACAATGGTAGTCTCAGGGATAGGCAAGAAGACTTCAGCTAGCAAGATTGTACCACTGTGACCAATAGTTTCATAGACCTGGAACCCAGGGATCAGATTCAGTCAGTAGAGGTGGCAACAGATGTGCTCTCAGGTATCAGTCTACATTATTAGTCTTCGTGCTAGTCTGCCCCCAGCCTTGAGTTGTGTCGTTATGGTACCAGGGGACCATCTTATATTCTGTTCTGTGACTAAGCTGTTGACAGCCTGATTCTGAGTTACTCTAGTTTCCTGGGATAGGGTGTCATGATAATTAATATTATCAACATGATGGGATCTAGCATTATCTAGGAGACAGTAAGAGAGCATGTCTGGATCCTGGCAGATGGTTGGATTGAAATATTTCTTTGGAAAATCAACTGTGGGGCTCTCTGGTCCAAGTGGTTACACTACTAGCCTTTTTAAACAGTGAGTGTAGTGACCTATCTGTTTTCACTGACTTTACGTAGAGACATTTGATCACTAAGGGGCCCATAGATGATTTAAAACCATCTTAAAACTTCTTGGGGCAGGGATTATAGTTAACAGACATACCTGAAGCATTAAGCTCTCTGGCCAATTGAATATTTGCAAATTGAAAATCTGTCCAAAGTGAACTCGGAAATCTGCCCCTAGAGGTCGGCTAACAGTCCTGGACACCTCCTTGCTATTGAAGACCACCTTTAAGTACACAGAGCGTCTCCTAACGTCTTCCCTTCTCAAGACTTCCACCCTGCAAAGTAAGACCATACACAGCTGTAGTTAGTGTTAACTTACTAAGAATCACCATGCATTTGTTAAGTGGATACTGAACATGACAAGAGACATGACAACTCTATTGGTCATGTTAGCCCCCATTTGACCTGGACAGTGAAAAGTTTTGAGGAGCTTGCTATAATTGAATGTTGTGGCATGGAACTAATGGGAAAGCGATTGACCGGTACTGAAAAGTATAGTAACACAGTCCCCCTACTCACTCTGACCACGCCCTCACAAGCCCTCAGGTGGCATTGACAGGTACTGAAAAGGGCATGGGGGACTGAGCAAGAGCTGAAGTTGTACTTCAGCTTCCTTGATTTCTTAAATGTGACTTACGTTTGCATATGGGCATGGGGGACTGAGCAAGAGTCCAATCACTGTTGTACTTCAGCTTCCTTGATTTCTTAAATGTGACTTACGTTTGCATATAAAACAAAATCTTAAGTAAACATACTCCTTGTTCAATGAAGTTAATTCAGGACTGGAGAGATGGCTCAGTGGGCAAGATGTTTCCTGTTTTTCTAGAGGACCCGAGTTTGGTTGCCAGCACCCACCAAGGTCAGGCAGCTCATAATGGCTTGTGCTAGCAGGAGGGGGCATGGGTATAGACAGCCACTGTGGAGTGCAGGCATTGGCTTGCATTGGGGTTCTTCTCCCATGAGTGCTTCTGAGTGACAAGTGGGGTACACAGGTGGGAGAACCCTAGGGAATCACCAAAGTAAGCATGCATCAACACTTTCACTTGTTCACCCTCATGCCTATGTATGAGGACATGAGTTCTCAATGTATACAGTGTAGGGTGGTAAGATATGTGTATATATGTACATGAGGGAGTTCTCAATGTATACAGTGTAGGGTGGTAAGATATGTGTATATATGTATATATCACTGGGTACTGATATGTGTGTATGGGTACATATGAGTATGCTCCAATGTCATCAATGTACAGAACATGTATTTACCTGGTACATTCCAATATCATGTATGGTTAGAACATGTGCTTACCTGGGACACTGGTCATTGGGGGTCACATTCCCTGCCAGACTCAACTCTGGAACCAGTGTGGGCTCCCCTGGCCTCCTCCTGCTGTGGGCTACTCGCTCACGCACCTGCTGTTCTATGACAGCTGGGTCAGTGAGCTCTGGGGGGATGGGCTTCTTGATCTCCTCGGGAAAGGGCTCCTCAGCCTCTTCCTCCTCCTCAGGGTGCTCTTCTGCTGTTTGCTTCTTTTTCTTCTTTTTGGCCCTCTGTTGGGTGAGAGGTGACCTGGCTTCCAAATGATCTCCAGGACTGTCCTTCAGGACCGTGGTGCTCATACAGGGAGCACTGGGCACCCTCCCCCCATCCTGTCTCCATCAGCCCCTTGCCTTAGTTTTCTCACCAAGTGGAGACAGGCACAGAACACCTCCCACCATAAGGCTTCTGAAATGAGGCAACATTTGCAGAGCATTTGCAGGACCCTCCATTTAGAGTGACCACACATGGAAAATACACTTTTGATGTGTACATTACTGATTATAAACAATACTATTAATACAGTGTCTGTATATAGCACAGGGTTAGGGTGGGTTTTTGAACAAACATACTAACCAGACAGTCCCTTTTTACCTCAGCAAGGAGACCCCCTCCCACCCACATGTGGCATGCTGGTCTAGCTTCCCTCCTCCTGTCTCAGGGGTTTACCATCTCAGGCTGTCCCTAGGCAGTTCTACTCTGGGATGAATGATGTTTTACAAACCTGGGCCTTCCTCCAGGCCTTCCACTGCTGATGCAATGCTCTGTACTCTTCCATCTTCCTTGTGTATTCTTCCATGTGCTCTTCCAGCAATTCATGGATCTCAGCTTGAATCTCTGCTTCATATTCATCCTCATCTGCTTTCTGGTCAACTTTTTCCCTAATTTGCATATTACAAATAGGCAAAATAGTGCATAAATAAGACATCTAAGGCCATTAAAAAATTGGCCAAATCTCAAACATCTCACAAAAGGGTATAAATATGACTAATTCATAAAAGGCCCTCCCTTATGAGTAGTCAGGGAAACAAATTACACCAACAGATGTTTGATTCCCAACCTGGTAACAAGGACACTGGGGACAGCATTAAGCAGCATCACCCCTTGAGTGCATTTGGAGTAAGAATGTCAAGTGGAGATATCTGTCCCTTAGAACTCAACAATTTACTTCCAGGGACATTTTTGGAAACCTAGGTGAATGCATACTAAAAGGAAATTTGGAAATATAGTGAATGTGTGTGTGTGTGTGTGTGTGTGTGTGTGTGTGTGTGTGTGTGTGTGCGCGCACACACATGCACATCTAGAAGCCAGAAATAAATATTTAGTGTCTTCCACTATTGTTGTCTGCTTATCTTTTGAGATAGCTTCTCTTCCTGAACTCGGTTCTCATCAGTTGGCTAGACTGGCTGGCCAGAGACTTCTGGAATCCATCTGTTCCCCCATCCCCACTCCCAAGCTTAGAATTCCAGATTGTGCAAGCATGCCTGGAGTCTGTCATGGGTGCTAGGGATCTGATCTCAGGTCTTAATGCTCATGCTGCAAGTGTTCTCTCAACAGAGCCATCTCCTCAGCTCCTATAGTAGGGTTTTATAAACAGAGCTATAGTTACACACTGTCAATCATGGAAATAAATAAAATACAAGGAAGTGACTGTATATTATACACTGGTTCTATAAAAGTGAAAGACAAGTAATATTAAAGTGTGTGTTCTTAGAGGTTATGCACAGAGCAAAGAAAATGACAACCACAGAAGTCCAGACAGCTGTTACTGCTGCTGGTGAGAGGCGTGGGGACTGTCAGGTGCCTGAAATGCTCTTTCTCAGCCCAGGAAGCAGTTACAAGGCTGCTGCTGTTTTCTGGCAGTTTTTAAATGGTATCTATGCACTACACATCTTTCTTGATGTATGTTACAGCCCAATAAACCGGTATTTGAGAATTCTTACTTTCTCAAGACCAGCTTCAGGGGTGTGTTGGTAAATCTCTGGAACTCGCGCAGTGACTTCATTTCTTTCCAAACCTTTATGATGGTCTTAAGCAGTGTTCGATCTTTCTCTTGCTCAGCGTCACGCAATTTTCGAGTTTGCCTATGAGATGTTATAATTGATGTGGTTGAATCAGTTGTGTTAGTTAATAATAAAACATTAATAATGCTTCATGGTTGCATATCGAAGTAGACATCTGCAAGAGCCAACCCTCCCTTTTATATGGGGCTACAAAACTGCAACTCAGCTCTCTGCTTAACATCAACTTTCTCTTCTTCCACAGCTCTGCCACAGTTTCTAAGTAAATTTGGGATTCTTCACTTCTCTAATTCACTCATATGGCAATTTTTCTTGCTAAGAGTTTTCAATATTTCTGAGAAACTTTCATTGGGAGCTGTGAAAAGGAGTAGAAAACAGAAGGTAATAGGATGAGATCTATGTTTTGGAAGTTTGCTTATTTATTCTCTCTAGCTGAATCTGAAACTAAATTATCTTTTCAAATTCTTTTTCAAAGTAGGCTCTGTCCAACTGACAGCTGCCTTTGTAGTTATGAAAGGAAGGGACCAGCAGGAGTAGTTGTCATGGATTAAGAATGCTGGCGTCCCAGTTGTCAGCCAAGTACTGAGGTCCCTCTGTGTCCACACAAATCACGAGTTCTGCACAGAGGTGATGCAATGCTGTTGTCTGCTTTGGAGAATTTTAGTGCTAATGAGATGAGAAGTATTTTTGGTTTCAACTGAGGAGGTGGCATTTGAAAATGCCTTTGTCTTCATGTCAGTTATTTAACCTGCTTTGGAATCATCTAATACATTATTTAAGCATTCTTCACGAACATTAGCCAAATTCAGACCCCAAATTCAGTACACCATAAATCAGCTAGTGGATTAATTTAGAATAGGTGTCATGTGCAGTCCTGGGGGATACAGACACATCTAGAAAAGGTAGTGTCTCTGTGCTCAGGCAGTTTGCAGTTTAGCTTAGAAGACGGACATCCACGTGAGTGGTGACACCTTGGCATGACATGGGTCTACCTATGAGAACATCTGGAGAAGCCACAGGAGCCAGCACTGCAGAAATCCTGGCTGTGGGCAGGCCAGGGAATGATGGTTCTACTTGGAACGACTTGGGCTGTAGAGACAGTTTAGAGAAGTAAGGGGTCTAGCTGCCTAGATGTTCAGTGGGTAGCAGCGGAAAGGGGGTGCCAAAGCATGATAGCTACTGTCAGAGAGCCAAGACTCAGAGATCTCTGATGTCCTGTGAAAGCAGGAGGGTGACAACCTGCTGTGCCTTCTGGCTTTGGCATCCACTAGCTGGCCTTGGATGAACTGTGTCACTTCTCCATGCTCACCTGTAAAATAGGTGTGCTAACAGAGCTCACTTTGCAGGCTTTCTGTGATGATAACTTAACACATATGGTGTGTGTGTGGACCCTAGCCTGGCCACCGTTCCTCAGAGGACTGTCATTGTTAAAGGTCTGATCTTCCTTTATCCCATTATTTGCTACTTCCCTTGCCTTATTTTTTTTAAACTGAAATATCAGTTTAGTTTACTAAGTTATGTAACACCTTCAGATTTTTTTCTACTTCCTTTTGCAGTTCCCAACAAAACAATTTCTCAGAGATACTGAAACCATTTCTCAACAACAAAAATAATTGCCATATGAGTTAAATAAGCAAAGAACCCCAGAAGAACATTTAGTTAGAAATGGTGATCGAGCTGTGGAAGAAGGGGGGGGGCATGATTGTTGAGTCAGGCATGGGGTAGTACATCATCTACAATCTTGCATAGGTGAGCAGGTCTGCAGTGTGGACAGGGTACCCAGCTCTGAGAAGACTTTCAGAGCCACTGGCCTCTATGTGAGAGGATGCCTTTTCGGAGAGAATGCAGGTTTTAAAGGGCTAAGACAACAACACCTGAGACATTTTGCAGTTTCATTAGCTAGGCGGAAGAGGTAGAATGGACCAAGGACAATAAGAAGGACAACTATATCATCATGGAAGAGATGTACGTGGGACTGAATGTCAATGTCCATCAGCTGAGAGAGCTGCAGAGGTCTCAGGGGCTACCTGCAGTAAAATCTGCCTCAGAGGCAGGGTGAGTGAGTGAGGAGCAGGATAATGAGTAGAGATGGTATGGATGTTTGGCCATAGATGGATGGTACCTGTAGTCCTTGAATTCTTATTCACTCAAGAGGGAGCACATCTAGTGTGAAGCCCCGGTAGAGACTTCCCTGCAACACATGGCATCCATGATTCATGCCATAGCAAAACATGGCATCCATGCCTTAGCAACACATGGCATCTATGATCCCTGCCTTATACTTTCTGACTCTTGTTTAGGGAGCCAGCAACAGAGTCACAATGTTGCTTTAAAAAGTCAGGAATTTGGAAAATTCTTCAAATGGTACCATTCCAGGTTAAATATACCAACCCGGGACTCAGCAGATGTCAGGCTTGGAAGTCATAGGGGAGTTGGATATGACCGGATGGTTTCACGGGGTTAAGGAAAGGGCCCACTCAATAAGCTATCCTAGAATAGGCCATCTACACAAGGTTAGTTTCTCTTAGTGGAAACTCAAAGAGGGCCTGGACCCCTTTTTTTACTGTACCATATATGCTGATACTAAGAAGTTTTCATCTCTAATGGCTGTGGGGTAACTGTAGTGGCTCTGTGTCTGTGAGTCTACCTCACACACAAGTCAGCTGTTTTTCATAGTGATTCATCATACAGTTCTGGAAAAACCATGATTGTTTTGAAGACAGATTTATCATGTTTCTCCTAAACTTTCCCTTCTCCACCTCTTTATATGTCTGTTTCCTTCCACTTCTTTCTCGCCCTCCTCTTTCTCCATCTCTTTCTCTCTCAAGCCCATCACTGTTTTCACACTCTACACTAAAACTAAAATTATCCTCATGTAGAAGCTATGATGTTTTAAGTATAAGAAATAATTTTAGAAGAACCTACATGCCTGTATCTCCAGCATTTGACAGGCTGAGGCAGGAGGACTGCAACAATTTCGAAGCCAGACTTGTCTACAAATGAGTAAGGCTTTGCCAAACATAGCTATAACAATAATAATACTTTCCATTTTAAGCATACTTTTCATTCTTTTCCAGTATATAAACTGCACTAATTCCCACTTTGAGAGAAGAATTTCCAATTCATGCCTAGATTGGAGAAAGAAAAACATACATTGAAACTCCAAGATTATTATTTTCTATTCTAAGAATTTGTTCTGTAGAAATACCCACATACTAACACACAGATTTAGGGTTTTTAATTATTGCACAATTTAAATATTATCTGAGTAATGCCTGCCACTGGAGACTTCACACTCTATAGTAAAGCTATTATAATAAATGGTGGCCTTTGAACAATAGAGACTTAGATATTCAGCGAGAAGGAAAGGGTGAAGATACAGGGCACATAGAAAAAGCAGGTGACAGAATAGAATATTCAAGGCTTCTTCAAAACAATAAAACACGTGCACACATACCCACAGTATATGAAACCATAAAGAAACTGCTCACCAGGCTTTTCTCTGAGGGGGTAGGAATTTCATATTCTATATTTCCTAATTTAGGAGCAATGATCAGGGCTTTATGTTTTGAATTTTAAAATTATGACTAACTCAAAGGAACAGAAAATTATAGATACTAAACATGATGCCACCCACTGACATTGCATGTTATTCATGATTTCTTTTTCAATGAAATGTTATGATTACAACTGAGGATACCCTTCCTCAATCTTATACCCCCCTCCTCAACAAAGAACAGGGTATGTACCTGTTTGCAGTTCAGATGGGTTACTCATGATAAATGAGTATTGTTCACGTGTTCTTACTGCTTCGTGGGCCACACCACACAGAAAACAGCTAGTGGGATTTATCATTCCATGCTGCTTTGCAGATTCACCCATGTGGGAGCATGCTATCAGGCTCATCCATCATCCAATGTGGGGCAGATGTCTGTGTCTGCACAGGTGTGATCCTGGTAGCATTGGGTTATTTCTAACTCTCACTTTTGTGAATGATGCTGCACACATCCTGGCATGTGTCTCTCTGTGACATAGACATGTGTCTCCCTAGAGCACATACTCCTGAAACTTTGTATTCCAGCTAGTGGGCACCTTTTTGTGCTAGACTGATTGTTTAAATTACTTTTTTATAATTTCACATGCATACACTTTATTCTTACTCCTTTTACCTCCCTACTCCCCTGTCCACTCTGTACCCTCCCCACAAATCATGTTCATGGCCCTGTGAGATCAACCAAGGCCATCTGTGTGACTGTGGGATTGGAGCTATCTGTTGGAGCCTGGTGGCTAGAGGCAGTGATTCCCTCCTCTCCCAGAGTCTATATATAGCCAACAGTCAGAGGTAAGGGAGTTAGGGCTTGTGAGCCCCTCCCTCTTCCTTGATTGATTGCTAATCTTTCTTCACATCCTCATTCCTTTAAATTCTGCATCCATATGTTAGATTATTGCTATCATTGTTTCATTTGGCAGAAATTCACATGAATTGCATGCATTTTTAAAAAAGTCTGTAAATATGAACTGTAAATACACGGCTAATAGGGAACCAGGGGAGCCCTTGAAACCTTTACTCACCGAATTTCAGATTTGTATTCATTGATGGTTTTTTGGGTTGTGTCGAGAGACTGATGAGGTTTCTCTGGGTTAAGTCCAGTCTGAATGGCTTTTCTTAGTGCTTGAAGCTTAACAAGATAAGGGCAGAAGTTTTGTGTTAGAAATCTGAAATCCTGAGTGGGATGGTGAGAGCACTTCTGTGGATACTCAAGTCTCTGACCATCTCCAGACTGTCACCAAAACACTAAAACCAATGCTGACAAAGAATCGCTGCATCTGTTTTTATGAATCTGGAATTCTATGAGACAGTGTTTATCCATCTTTGCTTTGGGCCCAGATAATTCAAATGTTCATTAGAAATATAAATTTTACTGAGTTTCTCAGAAACAATTTTACTTTCAAAGATAACACTGGGCTATTCTGGTTCTTAATGCACAATAGTATTCTTTTGATATGAAGAGATCACAATGCTAGAGGAAGTATTATAGGGTAGCCTCTTATGCAGAGTTAAGGTCACTGCAGCAGTCTAAAATTGTCTGAAGCCACAATTGCCAGTAGAAGTCCCATGGGATAGTCTCACACTAAAAAGAATCCAAAGGGTAGCCATTTCTCTGCACCAGCTGAAGCAACTGGCCTGTGTGTGAGTGCTACACTGTGGGGATACCTACATAAAAATGAGAATTTTTCTAAGGACAGGCATATTCTCAAGGCACCAGTAGTCTCAGGATCCAAGATTGCTTCATCAAGTAATAACTGAATCTCATGGTGTGCTCTCCTCATTGGTGAAATCACTGGTAGCACACCCAAACCTTCCTCTTTAAGGCAAATATGTGATGCAGAATTTGGGCTCTTTGACTGTATACCATCTACACTTTCCTGTAATACTTAATCCCAATTTTGATAAAATCTAGAATCATGTGTTGGCATCTGGGCATGTGTGTGAGGGATTCTCTTGACCTAGTTAATTGGGATGGGAAGACCCACCTACTGTGGGCAACACCATTCCTTAGGCAGAGAACCTGGACCATATAAAATGGAAAAATAGCTGAGCACTAGCCAGTATGCATTTGTTACTCTTTGTCTGGATAATAGATGTGATGAGTTGCTTCAAACTTAACTTCCTCACTGTGATGAATTGTATCTTGAACTGAGTCAAAATTTGCCCTTTCTTCTTCAAGTTGCTTTTGTCTGGGCATTTTATCACACAACAGGAAGAAGAAAGACACCTTCTTTTTGTCTCTAGGTAGGATAGTGTCATACATCCTGGACAGGGAGAACATGTGAAATAGGGACAGAAACATTTGATTTTAGAAGTGTCATCACTATATTAAGAATAAGCTGTCCCATCAACAAGAAGCATGGAAAACACAAGTACCTTATCTGTGAGAAATTGTGTCTTGTTTCTTTGCTGTCTTGCAAGGTACTGGTCATACAACTGCGCCAGCTTGGATGCCAAAACATGCTCTCGGCTAAAACAGGGATGGTGAGAGAAGATTAACCCTGAAATATCGATGTCCAGTTGGAAATTTCCCGGAGGGTCTCCAGATCCAATCATACGCTGTCTACTGTGGACATACTTCACCGCCTGCCAAAGAGAGCAGATGGTAAGTTCAAAGCACAGTGCACTCTTGTCCTCAAAGGAAAGACCATTAGATAGAAACTATGGATCTTTTTCATGTGGACTTCCATGATTCCTGAAGTCTTGGGTTCTGAGGCTGATGACCTTGAAAATATTTTCTAATGTGAGAAATGTAGGGTCCATTGTTAACTAGTCATTATTGAATTATTGGAACATGGAAGCCCCCTTTCTTGTAACTAAGACTTAAAGATTTATAGCATGTGGAATAACATAGGAAGAGGGGTAGGGAGAAGCTGAGCCAAGTGCACAGAAAACAGCAAGGGAATTCCTTGGTATATAGTGTATCAGATTAGACTGCTGTCCTTCTAGTTATTGAAGGAAATGGCTATTGAAGCTGGTGAGCATCCCTTGTGCTTATACTCTCCCCTGGTTAGTGACAGACTGCTGTTAGGCTGTACTGCTTTCAGAAAGAGTACCCAGTACTTTCTGTAGAGGTGAGCTCTGGTTTCTTCACTGTTGCTGAATAAATGAGGTGATACATATGAGGGACTTGGGAACATGTCTAGCAATTGACAAAATGTCAATTAAATCTCCCTTAGCTTCTTGCTTCTGCAGGTGAATATATGCAGCCTCAGAGACATTGTGGTTTCTAGAAACTCTCAAAGCAAGTTAGTGATGTTAGCAGCCCACCATTGACAAACACATCAGCCCTTTATGTGATACAGTTCATATACAAACCACAACAGAAAACAGGCAAAAAGCAGGGGATGGGGTCTTCCTCTCTATCAGGAAGAGAGGTGGCATCTTTAAGATTCAGTTCTATCATGTGTGTAGATACTTTCCATACTTGGTTGAGCTGAACCTGAACTTAAGGCAGGGACCACCAGCAGTTACTAGAACACAGGCTAATATAGATTGGGAAATAAAGTGTATTTTGAAAGGTCCTGAGCTAATTTATTCCTGTTCAAGATTATGGTATTTTAAGACACATAATCATTTTTATAAGGATGTTTAAAAATAAAAAGTCTGATGAAAGAAGGAGGGGAACTAGGTGGCAGAAGAAAGGGCTTTCAGGAGTGGGATAAGACAGTGTAATTGGGATAAATATGAACACAATGCATTGCATTCATGCTTGAGATTGTCAAAAATAAATAAAGTTTATAGGGTTTCTCTTTAAAGATACACTGAATGTTATTTTAAAGGAGAATCTAGATGTTTTAGAATTAAATATGAACACACTATATTAAGTCTCATAAGAAGCCACAAATCCTAAACATACACCATAGCCTGCTCATCTAGGAAAAAGTGTAGAATTGCCTGGGAAAATGAAATAAACTCATAGATTATTTCTTTGAATTCCAGTACAAAGAAGCAAGAACACAATAATCTTACCAGAAAATAAAGGCTCATATGAATATACTTCACCAGAAGTACAAATATAGGAATTTATAACTACAAAGCCAGAGACTCCACTAAACAAATGAGACATATTTCTATGCATACAACACATATCATACAGACACACAGCACACACCCAGCAAACACACATACACCCAGCACATACACACAACACACAGAGATATACAAGATGAAGCACACACATACACACACACACACACACACACACACACAGAAAGAGAGAGAGAGAGAGAGAGAGAGAGAGAGAAGCAGCACACACAGTATAAAGCTCCCTTTTCTCTTCTTAGTCAGCTATGGAATAACATTACAACTGGGGCTCTCTAATGCCAGAATCCCCTCTTCTGCTCATTCCAAGCCTCATCCTGTCAGGTAATAGCTTTCTTCTCTAAATCAGCTGCTACTTGATGCTGGGCTTCACTGAATTGCAGACACCCATCAGTCTTTGCTGAATAGAGGATGATGCATGCAAAGTGCTGCAATGCTCCATATGATTGACAATTGTCATCTAAACATTTCTCCTCAGTCAACCATTTCTATAGATGAAGATAGAGAGGCCCAGAGACATGCAGCAATTTGCCTAAGGTCCCAAAGCAAGTTCAGGGTAGAGCCAGGGTGAGTCTAATGCTTCTGGCCTGAATCTGGCATCCCTGAGACATGCAAAGGAATTAAATGTAGAAAGTACTGATCATGTTCCCCACAGGCAACACTGGATAGGGGCATCAGTTCTTCTTTGAGATTTTACAACATTTATTTAGCCTCAAAATTTTCAAATAAAGCATTTACGCCACAGTGATCTTCTAATTTTCCAGTTAACACAAATAACTTCTAAAGCTTCCCGCAAAAGAATTGAGCGACTGGTCTTAGAACAGTACCTTTTGACTAGTCAGTATCAGCTGCATTAACTGTCTACTAACCTGGAAAAATGCACCGAACTGAGAATTGGCAATTAAACTCCATAGTCTTATGACCACTCAGAAAATCTGCATTAATTAAAGTAATTTCACTATAGTAAGACATGCACAACTAAATGTCAATCACAGATATGATGGGAGTTCCCTCTCTGGTGCTAGTTCTGTCTCACTGTTCCCTCTCCATAGGTGTTTCCAGAGCACTCAGGGTGTGGCTCTCAGGTTCCAGCTTGTATTCTCGGGATGAGTAGGGGCCTGTGGTAGTGTTGTTATGGACTTGCAATTTGCCCGGGGCACCTTTAGCACTCATTCCTTTCCCAACTTGGGATGAGCTCATGTTCCAGTAACCCCTGTTGGTCTCTACCTAAATTCAGCCATTCAGAATCCCCAACCCTCATTGTATTAGAGAGAAAGAATCCTGGATCTTGTTTTTCTTTCATCTGCCTGTATTTCTTTTTTTCTTTTTCTCTCTCTCTCCATTTTTTATTTAACTTAGAAACAAGATTATTTTACATGTCAATCCCAGTTCCCTCGGCCTCCCCTTCTCCCCTACCCCCACCCCCAACTAACACTCTACCTATCCCATACCCTTTCTGCTCCCATACCCAGGGAGGTCGAGGCCTTCCATGGGGGGTCTTCAGAGTCTGCCATATCCTTTGGGATAGGGCTTAGGCTCACCCCTTTGTGTCTAGGCTCAGGGAGTATCCCTCTATGTGGAATGGGATCCCAAAGTCTATTCCTATGCTAGGGATAAGTCCTGATCTACCAAAGGCCCCATCGATCTCCGAGGTCTCCTCACTGACACCCACATTCATGGGGTCTGGATCAGTCCCATGCTTGTTTCCCAGCTATCAGTCTGGGAACCACGAGTTCCCTCTTGTTCAGGTAAGCTATTTCTATGGGTTTCACCAGCCTAGTCTTGACCCCTTTGCTCATCACTCCTCCTTCTCTGCAACTGAATTCTAGTTCAGTTCAGTGTTTAGCTGTGTGTGTCTTCTTCCACTTCCACCAGCTGCTGGGTGAAGGCTATAGGATGGCATATAAGTCAGTCTTCAATCTCATTATCAGAGGAGGGCACTTAAGATAGCCTCTCCTTTGTCTGCCTGTATTTCTTATAGACTGAGAACTATCATGAAAGAAATAGGAACAATTTGGAGAGAGTATTCTCAGAGTGTATTTCAAGTTGTGAAGTTGACATGATTTTTTTATTTGAAAACTAAAGAGCAAGGCCCTAAGAGGAGATGTTAGTGGGTAATCTCCTAATATTCCCAGCAGGAGCTAAAAAAAGAAATTAAAATATATATATTATATATATGCATTGACAGGATTAAAAAGTTTCTATATGGTCCTGAGAAGATAATAACAAAGCTCAAGTGCACAGTCTCAGGCAGATCCCAAATCTTCTCTTCTAGGTCTTCCTGGAGACCATCCTCATTGCCCTTTTCAATGACATACCACCTGGACTATGAGCTGGGTGGGATCTCTTTACTGGCATTTGTCCTTAGTATTGGTAGAGTGAAATGCCCTCTTTTCTCTAGATGTGTCAAGCTAGGCCATCAAGGGCCATTCTCCCCACCCCACCTCGACACATGGAGAATACTGCCCTGTCTACAAAAGACAGAAAAACCAGAGGAGCAGGGCCTAGGCCCTCCCCAGTGTGTCTAGGCTGAGAGAGTATCCCTCCATGTGGAATGGGCTCCCAAAGTCCATTCGTGTACTAGGGATAAATACTGAGGCCCCATAGACTGCCCAGGCCTCCAAACTAACACCCAGGGGGTCTGGATCAGTCCTGTGCTGGTTTCCCAGCTATCAGTCTGGGGTTCATGAGCAACCCCATGTTCAGGTCAGATGTTTTCCAAATGATATGACAGACTTTGAAGATCCCCCATGAAAGACCTCATCCTCCCTGGGGAGCAGAAAGGGGATGGGATAGGGGATTGGTAGGGAGCAGGGGTGGAGGGGAAGGAGAAGGACCTGGGATTGACACGTAAAACAAACTTGTTTCTAATTTAAATTTTAAAAATCTGGAAAAATGTTAAAAAAAGAAAAAAGAAAACCAGAGGAAAGAGGAAGGGAGAGACTCTCCTGGCACCCAGGCTAAGTCCCAGTCTTTGGCTCTGCTTCCTAAACCACCTCCTTAGTAATGTCAGAGTCTAACATTCTAATATGTATATAGTCTGCAAATTCATACTGGACATGAGAAAAACATACAGTGTTATTTGTTATGGTCTGGTTAGTTTTAACTGTCAACTTGACACACCTAGAGTTACCTGAGTGGAAAGCCACCACTGTGGGACTGCCTAGGTCAAATTGCCCTATGGGTACGTCTGTCAGGGACTGTGTCGATAGTTAATTGGTATAGGGTATGTGGTGCCATTCCCTGGGTAGGTGGTCCTGGGCTGTAAAAAGAAGCTAGCTGAGGAAGAGTCTGTGAGCCATCCAGCTCCATGGTATGTGCTGAATTCCCTTGGTTGTGAGTGAGTCACCTGGTCAGAGGAAATGCTGTGTGGCACAGCAAGAAGGCCTGCCTTCAGTGAAGCTCCTGCTTGAGTTTCTGCCCTGACTATCCTCAGTGATGGACTGACCTGAAGATGTACACCAAATAAATCCCTTCCTCCCCAGCTTGCTTTTGGAAAGAGTATTTGTCACAGCAACAGAATAAAACTAGAGTATCTGCCA